CATCATACCCGTCCTCTGCACCCCATTCCACCATCATACCCGTCCTCTGCACACCATTCCATCATCATAACCGACCTCTGCACCCCATCCCACCATCATACCCGTCCTCTCCATCCCTGCCCTCCATTCCACCATCATACCCGTCTTCTCCATCCCTGCCCTCCATTCCACCATCATACCCGTCTTCTCCATCCCTGCCCTCCATTCCACCATCATACCCGTCTTCTCCATCCCTGCCCTCCATTCCACCATCATACCCGTCTTCTCCATCCCTGCCCTCCATTCCACCATCATACCCGTCTTCTCCATCCCTGCCCTCCATTCCACCATCATACCCGTCTTCTCCATCCCTGCCCTCCATTCCACCATCATACCCGTCTTCTCCATCCCTGCCCTCCATTCCACCATCATACCCGTCTTCTCCATCCCTGCCCTCCATTCCACCATCATACCCGTCTTCTCCATCCCTGCCCTCCATTCCACCATCATACCCGTCTTCTCCATCCCTGCCCTCCATTCCACCATCATACCCGTCTTCTCCATCCCTGCCCTCCATTCCACCATCATACCCGTCTTCTCCATCCCTGCCCTCCATTCCACCATCATACCCGTCTTCTCCATCCCTGCCCTCCATTCCACCATCATACCCGTCTTCTCCATCCCTGCCCTCCATTCCACCATCATACCCGTCTTCTCCATCCCTGCCCTCCATTCCACCATCATACCCGTCTTCTCCATCCCTGCCCTCCATTCCACCATCATACCCGTCTTCTCCATCCCTGCCCTCCATTCCACCATCATACCCGTCTTCTCCATCCCTGCCCTCCATTCCACCATCATACCCGTCTTCTCCATCCCTGCCCTCCATTCCACCATCATACCCGTCTTCTCCATCCCTGCCCTCCATTCCACCATCATACCCGTCTTCTCCATCCCTGCCCTCCATTCCACCATCATACCCGTCTTCTCCATCCCTGCCCTCCATTCCACCATCATACCCGTCTTCTCCATCCCTGCCCTCCATTCCACCATCATACCCGTCTTCTCCATCCCTGCCCTCCATTCCACCATCATACCCGTCTTCTCCATCCCTGCCCTCCATTCCACCATCATACCCGTCTTCTCCATCCCTGCCCTCCATTCCACCATCATACCCGTCTTCTCCATCCCTGCCCTCCATTCCACCATCATACCCGTCTTCTCCATCCCTGCCCTCCATTCCACCATCATACCCGTCTTCTCCATCCCTGCCCTCCATTCCACCATCATACCCGTCTTCTCCATCCCTGCCCTCCATTCCACCATCATACCCGTCTTCTCCATCCCTGCCCTCCATTCCACCATCATACCCGTCTTCTCCATCCCTGCCCTCCATTCCACCATCATACCCGTCTTCTCCATCCCTGCCCTCCATTCCACCATCATACCCGTCTTCTCCATCCCTGCCCTCCATTCCACCATCATACCCGTCTTCTCCATCCCTGCCCTCCATTCCACCATCATACCCGTCTTCTCCATCCCTGCCCTCCATTCCACCATCATACCCGTCTTCTCCATCCCTGCACTCCATTCCAGCATCATCCCCGTCCTCTCCAATAATACCAGCTATAGAGGAATACATCAGATCCCAGCAATAATACATTATAGTATATTTTATAGTATATTTTTTCTAATCCGATTAATCGAACTTAATAATCGGCTAACTAATCGATTTTGAAATTAATTGTTCGCTGCAGCCCTAATTTCAACTTCATATATTAAGTTGTAACAGACTCGATGGGACAGCCGGGTAAAAAAAAGCCTGGGGGGGGGGGCCCAGGCCTAAAGTTGTGTAAGGGGGCCCAAAATTTCTGAAGGCTGCCCTGCTGGTGAGCAGTCATGTTGGAACAGGAAGGGGCCATCCCCAAATTGTTCTCACTTCACTGGAACCAAGAGGCATAAAGTTTGCATAAAAACTGCATTTGCCCATCTACAGAAACTCGTAAATCGTTCTTGTGATTTACATCACCCTTATGGCCATGTTGCCTCCATCTTTACATCACCAATGATTATATTACCTGCTATTAGTAGGAGTTTTTCCAGCTCTTTAACAATATGAACCTGAAACACGGCCCCAACTCCAGGGACATGAGTGAGAGAATTCTTCAGCACATTTAGAGCATACAAGCCCTCTTCTGCGCCAACTAGAACAATCTGTAAGAAAAAACAAAACAAAAAAATTATACAATCCTCAACTCTAAATGCCCTAAGGGCTTGTTCACACCATGTATGGACCATGTCCAGACCAGGATAGTTTGTTCCCAGACCAAAAAAGCATCTCAATGTATCCCCAAGGTATTTCTGGGCTCTGTTCACACCAGCACAGTCTGTTTTGGTCCAGACAAAAAAATACTGCTCGTCTCATTTTCTCTGGTCTGGAATGCATGGAAACATCGAAAATTCATGCCAACGCACTAAACTGCACCTGAAAGCCCATTTTAAGCTAAAAAAAAAAATAATAATAATAAAGCGACACAAAAGGCACAGCACTGCGTTTGCAGATCTGCTCCAGATTTGGTCCGGACACGGTGTGAACATGGCCTTAGTGAGCCCTGTGTTCATATGTAATCATTTTATTGTCTAAATTTAAAGTTGAATTGCTGCTGGTGTACCAATTCAGTTTTCTGTTTACGGGGGCTTGTGGATGACCTACTGTGAGCAATGAGTTAGGTTTATTTCAATGGAAATCTTGTTGCAGCTCCCTCCTTTTGTTGCCAGTAGACACCTTGGAATTGATTCCCATGTATCTTCTATACTGTAGATATTGTAGAAATTAGTGATACAATTCGTCACAAATCAGGCTGAGCATCATTTAGTAAAGTCTCTGTGACAGGTTTACGGACCTTTGCATCTATAGTCCTGAGAACCTAAGTTAGACAGTTTGCCAAGTTCTGAGACAGATTTATTAATGAAGTTGGGACAGATTTTCTCTCTAAACAGTCACACAATAAGGAAGTGGTCAGGGTTAGGTTTTCTGTCACAGAGCTACTTTAGCAAAGTTGAGACAGAAATGTATGACTCAAGCTGCAACCTTGTAGTAAATCTGTCCCACAATCTGTTTTACCGCTCCTGTTTAGCATTGCTTTGCCATGCAACAGAATTGATAAATGTTGTCCATTATATATATTTTATGATTTAGCTGACAACTCATTTTTATTTCTCTCCCTATTGAAGCACTTTTACAAATAATTTAAATGGTACAATATGTAGGACAGTCTCTCTGTATAGATATGATAGTCTCTCTGTACCATAGGGACACTATAGTCTCTCTGTAACATGGATAGCCTCTACCAGTCGTTCTATAACCCAGCAGTCTAGTATAATATGGCAGAGCTAAAAGTGGGTGTCAAGGAGGGTTGGTTGCAAGTGAATTCAAAAGCAGGTGGAGGGTACAGGCAGGGCCGGATTTACTCTTTGTGCTGCCCCAAGGTCAGGTTCCTCGATGTGCCCCCCTTCCCGGCCAACCCCACCCCCATGGAGTATGGCAGACCTGCAGACTGCATACAAGTGATCTCGGCAACATCGCCTAGATCACTTGTACAAAACAAGCCATGACTTCCCTGTACATTTAGCTCTGCTAGCCCAAAGCAGGGCTAAATGTAGAATAAAAACTACCCGCCCGGCACCCGAGACTGCATGTCCTGGGCATCGGCAGATAGGAATTCCACACCCCTGCTGCCCCTCTACTCCCTGTTACCCCAAGGCAGGGCCTTGGTTGGCCTTGTTGGAAATCCGGCCCTGGGTACAGGGTCCTCAGTCAGTGTGGGCTTTAAGAACAAGACCCACGTAGATCTCTATATCGAACATTTTAAGAAATGACACACATGACTCTAAGGCTAGGTTCAGACCTGAGCGAAACCCAGGACATGCGTTCTGGACCACGCGATCGTGTGCTAGTGCACATAGTGGTTGCCGCACAGGACTGGAGTCCCATTAGAAAATGATTGCACCTCCAGCGCAATCGGCTGTGGTGGGCGACTCGGTGATTGTCCGGCAATCTGTGCGGTTTTGTGCACGATTGCCGCGCGGTCGGGAGTCACCCAGGTGTGAACCTAGCCTGAGGGATTACAGGAAGAAAAGCAGCTAACCAGCATGCACCACAGTTCTGTAAAAATATTTGCCATATTTTTCAATATCACTTGTATTCATCTGAAGAATTTACATTACATACAAAACAGACGATTCATTATTGTGCAGCTCCTTACCTGCTCTGTGAGAGGAATAGTGCAGTTTATGTCCAGACGGTCTTCTCCTTCCAGTTTCAAAAGGGAATTTCCAAGCAGTTTCTATGACAAATGTACATAAAATGACAAAATCATCCATACTGTCGGGGTGCAGAAAATTGCACTCTTATGGCAACTTCTGCTACTTCTAGCAAGAGCTCTATCCTTAGATGTCTACATGAATCTCTGATACTCAAGCAGCTAAGTCTAATCTAAAAGTACATACAGCTGGCCTTTAGAACAGCAAAAAGGAGGCTCTGAAGTGAGTGAACTACAGAGCATTAGACTAGGGCTCACCTCACCCTTCATTAAGAAGGCTAAAAGAAGTTCTGCTTTAAATGCTCATCTCTTCCCATATTCTTTCCCAAACTTTGAATCTTTAACCCCAACACGGGACCCTCCAATTTCACCATCTTTTCACAAACTCAAAAATAAAAATATATACAAATATTAAAGAGATATAGAACCTGCTGTTTAGACAATCACATTCTATCTACTGGGAAAGCACAAAGTGACACACAAGGAGAGTGTGCGAAAAGACCAGTCAGTGTAACAAGAACAGAACGCAATCACGACAGACTTGTGTGAGAAGTGTACATAGGAATATTTACCTTTTCTACCACCTCCAATACAATCATCCTGATGTCATGAAAAGAGCAACACACAGTTACATACTAATCCTGTACCAAGGAGGTTATGCAGTCATGATGTACATCAGTGTCACTGTTTTTTGACGGAAAGCAGATACCGATTGCAATTAACTTTTGTGATGGTGTTCAAAAGATGTTGCCGTGTAGGCAACAGATTATGTGAAATGGGCCTCACCCTAGAGATTGCCCAGAAATTGCCATTAAAACTGATCTCCTGGCAAACAGCTAAAAACACATTTTAGACCCAATCTATGGGTAATTCTTTATCTGCCAAAGGATTTTTAATTCTCTGCAGAAAGAGTTGGGACCCAAACACTCTACCAGACAGCACAGCCTGGTCTCAGACATCTGCTGTAGCTAAAGCACTGTAGAAGGACATGGGTGCATCTCCATTGTGCTAATTAGACAATGAGGCAGCAGAAACACACCAGTGAGGTAATTCAATTACTCTATTTTCCTTGTCAGAATTTATATGCAGCAGAACCTGATTGGCTAACATAACAATCTACCTGGCTGTGAGCAACACTATTTTGCTCTTTGCAATGGCTATGTTTAAAGTCAGAATTTTCAAGCAGTTATTTTGCTTGGATCCTACATCATAAAAATCCACCTGCAAAAACAGGATTTTTGTACTTGTCATAAAATCCTTTTCTTGGAGACCATTAGGGACACAGGAAGTCATATTCCTCTACGCAGTTTGCAGCAAACAGAACCAAGAGCATAACCCATAAACACAGAGGGGTGGGACCTGTGTCCCTCATTGGACTCCAAGAAAATAATTTTACAGCGAGTACATAGACAGGATATTTGTGTTACCTGTAAACTACATTTCCTGAACTAGATCACAGGACACAGGTAGTTAATTTTTAGATCGCTGTGTTATGTGGCTACTTTCAGATGATCGGACACTGGCAAAATCGATCAAAAACTGAAGGTCAGCCTTGCATAACCCTTCCCACTGCCTACCTGCCTCAGTTTTGTAGCAAGCAGTACAGAGTGGATCACAGAATACAAAGGGGAGGGTCCTGTGATGTACTCCAAGAAACTGATTTTACAGATAAGACAAATATCTTGATTGTATATCACAGGACACAGGAAGCTAATTCATAGACCATTGGGGCATTCATAGCAGTCCAAGAGAATGGTGGGCGACAGGGCTAACAACAGCTAACAGGCCGAAGGAATAACAACCCCAAGGTTCAAAAAGCCAAAACAAAGAACTAGAATTAAGTCGTGCACAAGGAAAAGCGGACAATTCCTGTACTATACACTGAGTGGCCAGATTATTATGACCACCTGACGTTTGTAGGCAAATTAGCTATAATTTCGCGCTGAAGTTGCTAGAGGGCCAGACCATTATAAATAGGGAAGCAGGTTATTTACCACAACAGTAGAAGTGATTTTTTTCTGAAGATATGAGTAAATAACGCGATTCAACAGCCTTTGAACGTGGGATGATTGTTGGCGCTCGGAGCCATGGAGCGAGTATCAGCAAAACAGCAGAATTTGTTAAATGTTCAAGAGTAGCTGTTAAAGTGTTTAAAGACTGGACTGTCAGCCGAAAATATGGGTCTGAACGTGCGAATTGTGGCCGTCGGCGACTAGTCAGTGTTAGGGCAGAACGGAATGTGGCAAGACTGGTACAAGACAACAGAAGGGAAACAGTGCAGTGTCAGATTCCTCGCATCACCTTTCAACATCTTGTGGAGTCACGAGGCGGCCCGACGAAGTCATCTCGTGGAGTTATCTCGTGGCCCAACGAAGTACTAATGGGGTGGTCATAATAATCTGGCCACTCAGTGTAGGTTTACAACGAGGTAGCAGAGAGACAGCAAACTTCTCCTGTGGTAGGAAGACCCTGGACAGGGTTTTGTCCAAGACCAGGTCTAGATACTCCAAGCGATGAGAGCATTCCAGCACTGTTTTCTGGAGGTTCAAGATTCATTCAAAGGGTCTATATCGTTCAATATATGTTGGACGACAGGGCTGACGTCAACTGCTACTTGAGCAGCAGGTTGTCCAAGTTCCCCACTATATGGATTGCCTGGGAGCACAGCATGGCCAAGACAGGGGACCAGCACATTTATAACGCGGACAGACTGAAGGAAAGAGCAACAAGTTGGAAATGCTGGGTGCCCAAGCAAAATGCAGGGAGCAGCCATGGGCAGGAAAAATAGGGATGTATGAATACACATCCTTGATGTCCTCCAAGGCCAGGAAATCTCCCAGATGAATGAAGGCAATGACAGATTAGGTGGATTACATCCTGAACCTGCAACAACAGGGTTGAGGATCTTCAGGTCTATGATAGGGCAAACCCCTCCCTTGGGGATAGTGCACAGGTTGTAGTAAAACCCCTGGGACATCTCTGCTCCAGAATGGGGTCTATGACCCCTTGAGAAAGGAGCTGACTTATGGCAGCAAAAAGATCCATCCATGTTTGAAAAGATATTGGGCAGATTTTAAAACAGGAAAGGGGTGGAGACAGGAAGCCAAAATCCGGCCCGTAGCCTTTGGTAACAATACTCTAAACTCATGTTTTGGGAATGTCTTGCGCCCAGATGTCTTCCCATTGGTGCCCCTTTGTTGTGAAGATGACTTTGTTGAACAAAAGACTTAGCTACTGGAGTCTTAGGCTTTTTCCCCCACCTGCTTTCCTTGATATACATATCCTCCAGGGAAGTGCATTTAATGCAGGGAAGCTCCACTGACCAACACTTTAGCCAAAGGAGCTGTCTCATGTGGACCAACAGAAGATTCGGCCTAGAGATATAGTGGAGAGTATCCTCCAGGGACATCCGGGGGTCTTGCTCAGGAAAGAAATGACAGGACCCGGAAAGCTCTCCAAAGCTACCTTATTACCAGAATTGTGTCTTGAAAGTGCCTAACCTGGAACGCAGTACCCGAAGGGCACTTCCAGGCTGGTCCTGTAACGTCCAGTCTAGTGGGGTCTGGGACTCCAAAGCCAAGCTGTGAAAAAAGGCTGATCTGGATAGCTGCCATGTAGAGACCAACTCAAGCAGTGGTGAGGCATGGAATGAAGAAGAGCTGAAGGTAATTTGAAGGAAAAAAAAATGGCTAGGACTTTTCCCAGCAGAGCTGTGATAGATGGCCATCTTTCTAGGACACTAGCAAAAAACAGAGGCATGCTGGGCACTAACAGGCTTATCCTGGGCTGGCCTACAGATTGTTTTGTTTGACAGTGGCCAATCTTCATGCAAGTGGCAGTATAACCTGACAGCATAAGGCTTCCTGTGTCCCTTAATGGAGAATTAAATTAACTCTTGAGTGGTTGTTGGAAGGTTCATGTATGCCAAGACTCTCAAGGACCTTAGCAGGGAGTTCTCACACTATACATCTAGGTTCTACCACCAATCCTATCGGCTTAAACTGACTCTGTCATGAGAAGAGTATGGTGCCTGCTCTTGCAGGCCTCCTGAAAATGCTAGTTACCTAGCTGTGTCTAACTTTAGTATATGTCAGTCACAGTCCTGGAACAAGAATGCTGTAAATTAGGGTCAGAACTACTTATCTTTATACTTTTTCAGGGTCGGCGACTCAGACAGCATGAAAGTCAAAGAATAAGAAAGACTTCCAAGGAACTAGCATTCTCAAAAGGAGAGTTCAGCAACTGAAGCCTTCATCCATCTCTTATGACAGTGTCTCTTTAAGGATCTGTAACTTAATCTCGCTCAAATGTGTTACTGTGCAAAGAATTTTCCCCATGTATTCGCAAAGGTGTCTCAGCTTCAATCGAAGCATTGATGTTACTCACTATTGGTTTTTAGTTTACTACTGCTACTGTTTGTCCTAAAACTGAGCAGAAATTGGTAAGGCCACTTCTTTCTTGAACCAAATATTTGCAACTGTGTCCAAATGACATGGACATGACAAGGACTATTCACCAAAATAATTACTAAAGGGAAATTCACTAACGGGTCAAACAAAACAAGGTTACAAAACAAACATATGCAAAGACCAAGCTTATACGAGATAATGCCAAGAACATATATTTCAGTTTTAAATGTGGCTGTTATGTTTTTCTTTCTGCTTTTTCTTTGTGCATCTTTTATAGACCTCATTATAGCAGAGTGACAGGTTCTATATATATAAACCTATGTTACTTTGAAATTAAATGTCACACTACCAGCGACTATACTATAACTATAAACAGATTAGTCGTTTCTTATAACTGTAGGCTAATGATCCAATCTAAATGTTAAATCAAATCACCAACCTAATTTGTATACATTTTCAGGAAAATAGAAAACATTTGGAGTCAATTGCCAACCTGTGTAGTAGGATGAGTCAACTTAACATAATATTATTGTCCAAGTGTCAATATATTTTACAAAGTATGCCTACTAAAATTCCAATGATTTGTTTGTGATTTTACTCATTAGTACTGCCAGAAATATGTATAATACCTATCAGAGCAAATGCATTTTACCATCTTCTATGTTGAAGCATGTGAAGACTGGAACACACTTAAAAAGAACGAGATTTACTATTTTGAAGTTTGTTTTTGAATAGATGGATGCGATGAGGAAAGTTAGAGATTCATATAGAGCTAGATCACTTATACTTTAACATTCAAGGCTTTCAATGTCTTATTTCCTGATAATATACACATCTTGCAGAGCCAAGATGCAACCTAATCTGATTACAACTACATACACTAATTCCAATGCATTCCTACTGTGCAGGAAAAGGACTGGGACCTATCTACCTACATGTATGTTGGAATCTCCTGTGTCCAGGAACTGTGCAACTCAACTCTACACTATCCATAAACTTACCCAATTTATTTGTATAATGCATTTTGTGTTTTAGAATCACTGGTCCTTTCACTAAATTGTAGAAAAAGCTGGCTTTGAAGAACTACCATCACTTACCGCATCAGCTTCTGCCTTTTCCCTGGACACTCTGCCACCAGCTACCACAGACTCCAAGGCATTTACCCAACGTTGCTTATCAGGAAAACTGGGTGCTAACAAATATAGTGTGCGTCCAGGCCAGCACGTGGTGTGTGGATGAGACTCTACCTTCATTACATATGGCACATCTTTTCAAAAGAAAACAAAGAAATTCATACAAAAACTAGTCATTGTCTTGTCTGGTCAAATGGTGATTTCTGTTTACAAAATAGGATTACAGTATACATAGAATCTCTGCTATAAATATGCAAGAAATGGAACTAGTAATTACAGATATGACTATTTTCTGCAGTGGTACTCACCTGATTTGGCAGTATTTACAAGCTCTGTAGACCCTACAGCTCCATGAACCGTGACATCACCATCGGGAAGACAAAGTTCAAACTCCTCAGATGGTCTCTGGCCTCCTATACGCAGTAAAATAATCCATAACATTATGACTCAATGTGATACAAGTATAATTTAATAAAAATGTAAAGAATTAAAAGATTGTCACCCATTACCCAATTACCTCCTATTAGAATATGCTGCAAGAGTGATATAAGTGAGGGGATAAGGCATTCCAGCCTCAGACACATGACACGAAATAGACTCTACCCACAGTAAAAAATAAAATAAAAACGTTACAAAACATACCTTCTTTCACTTCAGAATCATATAATAACATTTTTGTTCCTTCTAGTACTACATATTTTCTGTCCCAGCCTTGCTGTCCACGTTTATTATTTCTAGAAAGCAAGGAAGAAAGAGAGTTAACATTTTCTTCATTTCTGACACTGAGATATATATCTATGACATATTTAAGATTTTAGCAAGCCTTGATAAGGGTTTTCTGCACGTCAAACTCCTCTTCACACTTAAAAGTGTGGCTTGGTTACTTCGACCATTGTAAAGCTGTAGCTCTTTAAACAGGCTTTTAAAAGGTATTATTTTATATTGATCTGCATGCATGCAGTGCATTTTATACCTTGGGATCTTCATCCAGCCTTCCAGTCGTACAGAACCGTTCACATCCTTCATCTGCATCCCTGGAGAGTTCATTTTTTCTCTGCAGAAGGCCTCGTTGAAATGTGAAGCATATTCTGCAGGGAGGCCACACGTAGCTGGGAGGCAGGAGGAACACTTTGGGTGACACATGACCTGACATTCTTACAGAAAAACAAACAGAAATGCAGGTTAACAAATCTGCCCAGCAATTAACTAGATGGGTCTACACACCGAGACAGCAGCCCTCATAAACATGATATACGATACATCAATCTTAAGTAGCGAGTGACTTACCTACACATTTTGCACCTTGCCGCCCAAAGTGCACGGTGTCTAAACACACAGAACATTTGGCTGCTCGCATAGTGAGCCCAAGATTAAACCTGTGAGGAATATTATGGTGCATTCGTTCCTTAAGGCGACGGCTAAACTCTAAAGAAATCAAAAAAAAATATAGTATAAAAATGCAGTTAATAAAAGCTGCATATATTTGCAGTGGTACAATATCAGAAGATATATTTTCTTGACCAGTGAGATTTTCTTAATTGTCCTTTGAGCGACACAGGAATTCGTAGGTTATACTTTACAAAGAAATTCTTTTAAGGAAAGAAAAAGTGGGGTTTTGAAAGCACCAGAAAATGACAACTCCAACCACAATATGTAAAAATATAGTTATTTATTTCATATAAATCTTAAAAAGAAGCAAAGAAGGCCTAAAGCCAATACTAAAATTGAGTAGATAGTCCCTAAAAAAGCTCTTTCCACATACACAATACCTCACCATTGACAGAAACATACATGATTTATCCTATATTCTTGTCGTCATACATGATTGTGGTTCCAATGAAAAAGGACCAAATAACATATAGAGGGGCCCTTTCATAGGGCTGTGGAATGGAATGATTGCTCTCTACTAACACTGCCCTAGGAACAGAGCGTGACCTTCGGTACACAACACGATTCAATTTGTAACAACTTAATGAGCATGATTGGATATAGAAAACAATATTAATTGGAAATCCACATAATTCCCCATCCACAATAGTGGGTTGATGTAATAATCACCAGTATTAGTTCATCTGATATCCATAATATATCAACCAAATCTATATAGCTAATGCTTGAAGGGTTAGAGGGTGGAGCAGATCAATTCTCCACTAACACCAACCCGCAAGCAAGGTCTGGCTACCTTGAGAGTTTCTGGTGCTTTCAAAACCCCACTTTTTCTTTCCTTAAAAGAATTTCTTTGTACACTATTTACCAGGGGTGTGGCACCCAATATCCAGATACAGGTCAAAACTTTTTTACTCAACAGTAGGTTATACTTTCTCAACAGGGGGCCTTCTGGCTTCCACAGGGGTGCTTTAAAATTATCCTAGGCAGACCAGCTGCCAGCACCATTAAAACAAATTACACTAATCCAGGGAGGGTAGGATCCATTTAGAAAAGGACAAAAGTTTGCCTCTGTCCAGGCCTGCTCCTGATGTGATGGTAGGACTCTGGTGTAAAGGGGCAATGAGCACTCTGCCTCAATAGTTCTGACAATGTGAAGGAGTAACTCTGATGTGAGAGGGGGGACTCTGGTATAAAAGGAGGGCTCTGATCTAAAAGGGGAACTCTGATGTGAAGGGAGGGCTCCTGATCTGAAGGAGGGAGGAGTTGATGTGAAAGGGGCTCCTGGTGTAAAGGGTGGCTTGTGAGCTGAAAGAGGAGGACTTTGATGTGAAAGAAGGGGGTTTTGATGTGAAGGGGGAGGACTCTGATGTACAAGGAGGCAAGTTCTGATGTGAAAGAGGTCTCTAATGTGAAGCAGGAATCCAACTTTTGTGCTAATGTGTGGGGTCTCCCCTAAAATCCATACCAGACCTCTATCCTGGATTTGTTTTTGGTTTTTTACCTTTTTTGTCTGGGATTTGCTTACTTTTAAGAGTGCCGTGACTGAAAAGGGTTGAGAAACACTGTCATGTTATATTACTGCCTACAGTAAAAATGCACTCTGGCAACAAAAAAAAAACCACATTGGCTAGCACATGATAAACCCATCAACAACCATCATGCCTTAGTTTTTGCTAGTCTCCTCAGGAGAGTGGACATGTTTTCTTCAGTTTTGCCGTTTTTTCTGCTACGAACATCTGCTGGCAGATTGATACTAGATATATGAAATCCTTTTTCTGAGGTGCAAACAGCTTTTCAACATTACCCTAGCCACCATATAACACCTGTCCCAGAAGTGAATGAACCGGAAAGGTCTAAGCAGGCCTGGGCGATTTCAGAGAAACCAAGTTTGAGATCTTGGGAGGGGAGGATAGATCCTCCACTTATCGCAGCCACTCAACTTGACTCATGGAGCAAGGTACAGGGGCCAAGAAACTACCCTGGCTTCACTGATTAGGGCAGAGATACCCCATTGCAGCAAGGGGGTCCTTAGGGGAGGGGCTTCCCCAGACCTAGACCTGTATAGCTCTCTGTGGTTAACTTAACACGATGCACTATGTGCCAATGTGAGTGCCCACACAGGATCTAGTGTGAAAAGCAACATTACAGGCCTTCCTGGTATCTTTATTCAGGTTGGTTTTGGGTATGGTTCCCCAAGGCTGCCTCAAGGAGAACACCTATGTTGAAAACTATTGAAAGGCAGTAACCACAGTGGCTATAAAGCACCTAGGAGAACAGAAGCTTGTTAGAAGAATCATGAAAAACAAGTAAATTCTTATGTAAAGAATTAGGGAAGACTCTTTTAGAGAGAGCATGGCCATGGGTTATATGGCGAATGTCCCTGTGGCACTTTCTTTTTGGCAGTGTCCAATCATCTGAAGGTAGAATATAACCCCGCATCTAAGACTTAAAGAGCCTGTACTGTACAATTAGTCAATTTATTCTTATTGAATACAGAAGTAGTGGATTACATAGAACTCAATATTAAGATAAATCTATGATAATCTCTGCATAAGAGGAATTGTATTGTCCACTGGACAGCATTAGGACTTGACAGGTTTCACTTGTTCGAAGGAATTGTTCTCAAAAATTGTGCCCTTGCGTCTCATTAAACATGTGTCTTGCAGAAAACTGCACTGTAATGTAATAACCACACTTTATGCAATACCGGTGTCTACCTGTTTTCCAGCACAAATTAAAATGTAAAATGATTTAAACTCCTCTTGGAGTGTTCCTTACAACTAAATTCTGGTACAATAAGAACTAGCTTCTAATGTTATGTAAGACAGTGTGGTGGGGAAAAACCTCTTCCTTCAGGCTATAAGAAGATGCTAAATCTTTGCTTACAGCAAACTCCTTTAACCTTATACTGTAAGGAAGGAGCACTAAGTACACAGAAAAACCATTAACAAGTATTTGTGCTGCAGTACAGTAACGCAGTAGAACATTCTGATGTTTAGCTGCAAACACATTTCTCACCTTCAGGCGCAGAAGATTCTTTCCTCCTGTTGGACGGAGGAGCTAGCAAACTGGCAGCGTTTGGTTGATGCTCTGGAGATCTCACTAAAGCAGACATGATAATCTGCTGCCTTGCTGTACCAGGTGTAGATGGAACTGGATGCTCAACCACCTTGAGATGTGCAGCTGTAGAAGACAGAAAGTGTTCAGAAGATCTTGTACAGACAGAAGTCTTTCCAGACTGAGGTATGAACAACTATATAGAAAGCTGAAAGTTCGGCCCCTGGCTCTGAAATCTATCCAAAATTAATATTACCACAGAAATGGTGACACTTGGTTAAGCAAAACACCAATATAGTTTCCATTTAAGGTGCTGCCTCCTCTGCCTTAAAGTGTATCTTCTGCCAATTTTTTGGGGGTTTGGATAGAGTGGCAAAGGATTAAATCTTCTGGCAGGTTCTTCTTCACTTTGTGTATGTTACATAGGAGGACAGGAAGCGAGGGAACATCTCACTATCGCGTGGACGTCGCCCTAGTGTGAATAACACACATTGGAAAGAATACATTTTTTATGGTTAGCGAGTTTCCGCAGGTAACCTGCTAATGTGTGAACGGAGCCTCAGTCTTTAAATGTTAGGGAAATAATGTATTCCAGAACCTGGGGACAGGAGGATGACATTTTGGAGATGCAGTATTTTCTATATCTAGTGAAAAGGACAGTTTCTGCCTTAAAAGGTTATATCTTCGGGCATATACAGCCCTTTGTTTCCATCAATAATATGCTGGTTAGATTCTTTGCATGGACATTTGTTTCTGTTAAATTCTCCCATAGTTTCTGTTAGCACTTATTAGAATACACCTTAGAATGCAGTGCAAACTCCATCTTTGTCAATAAAATTTGTAGGACCTGCCTTAAATGATGCCTCTTGATCCGATCATCATCTTCTTTCCAGTAGTTTTCCAGGAGTCCCTCTGGAACTGGTGCCGGTCGCTGATCAAGCGCTGACTGCCTGACAGAGATGTGTCCCACGGTGTCTGTCTGCATGCATTGGCTTACACTGTGTCTCTCCTCTTCTCCTGGCTGAAGATCTCTACTGCGCTTTGCGACTGCCCCATGATCTTTCACGAGAATCTTCAGATGGGAGCGAGCGGCAGAGACACAGGTAAGTTTTTACCTATTTGGTAACTTTTTTATGTTTTTGCATATATCTACTGCCTGCTAGCAGTAGATATATACAAAAAAACAAAGATTTAATACTACTTGAAATCACCAGCCCTTAGGTAAGTCTGGTTTGCAGTCCAGGTCAAACCTGTGTGCAGTATGGAATGAGTTTCTACTTTAGGCAGACAGCTAAAGTACTTGGCCAACAAGTAGAACTTTGACCAGAAGATGATTAATAAACAATTACCTTCCTCCCTGGCCGATCGGAGTTCTATTCTTGTTTTTTGGAGAACTTCCTCGAGTTCTGCAGTCCGCGCCTTCTCTTTATCCAGAGCTACTTTTAGTTCGTTGTACTGCAATGGAATCTGGGATGTTTGATTAGGGTCATCTCTGCGTCTACCAAACAAACTCTGCAATGTAAATGGGATAAACAAATCATGACAGTCAATTGATAAAATGCCACAAATGTTATGGAATATGTCATTCGCCTCCATGTAGCAACTCACAAGAGAAATCAATCAGTTGTTAAATATATACTTACATACATTTATACTTTAAAGTTAAAACGCAATTATACTTTCTATAATGATGCCTTGACAAGAGAAATGTTCACCTTTTTCTTCTTAGATGGCTGATCCATTTTAGCTTGTAAGAAATCAATAAGTTTGGTCTGCTGAGAAATTGTTCCTTCCATCTTCACCTTTTCATGAGAATAAAGAACCTAACACAAACAAACATAAATGCTGTAAGTGTGCGTATGGAGTGGACATAGAGAGCCCATTAGATGTGGGTGATATGACATTCAAGCATTCCCTGGGGAAAAAAAATTATTTACAAAGTATTTCCCCTTAACAATATTGACTGGTCCCTAGTTATGATTTTAGTTATGAATTGTGAGCAATATGATATTTGACTAAGACAGGAACAGAGTATAAGGGTTTTAATAGTTTTAAAAGCAGTAAAAGAATGAATGAACAGATGTTGCTGTCTTTGTAATTAGCTGGATAGCATTAAGCTGGCCATAAACCTTTGAACCATCGCAAGACTTTTGTCTTGCAATGGATGTAAGGTAATTAAAAAAACGTACGATCTGCCCATCTTGGACAGGCAGATCGTACTTGCGATCATCGCAAGCCCGCCCCGCTGAGGGGCGCGCTTCCGATGACTGCAATGCTGAACGGGCAGTGCGCGCTTGCGCACACCAGCCCGTGCGGCATTTGTCTTACAAGCCGGCCACAAACCCGCCGACAATCGTACGATTCTCGGTGGGTTTTCGAGCCTGCTCGTAAGACAAAAGACGTGCGACCGTACAGTGGAAAAAACAGTTACTTTTGTGACCCTTGTCACTCTTTGACATCATTACATAAAAGGGATGCATTTTTCAGAACAGTTGCAAATTCAATGTCTATTCCACTCCAATGTAATTTAAAAAATTGATCACACACTTGAAAAACTAAAAAAGCCAGATGCAATGCAAATTAGGCACCAAGCTGGTTCACAGGTAAATTGTTTTTTATCCATGGATCTGTGCCTTTTGTGTTGATTTGCCACCCATTCACCATTGTAGAAAGCAAATGTGCCTTCTATGAAGAAACCTGGATTTGCAGTCCTCTACCTCTTCTAGCGTGGATTAGAAATCTTACCTGCATATTTTCTAGCTGATATTCTAAGTCACTCCTCTCTGTTTTCAGCAAGTCTGCACGATCCAGGGCTTCCTGAAGTCCTTGAGTCAGACGGAAGATGTGATTCTTCTGAAGATCCATTTGCTGTTGTAACTTGGCTTGCTACTCTCCACAAAACAGGACATTTCATTAGATGGAAAAGGCCTTTATTTATTATACAGAACCATTTAAATGAGTCTCTGTCACCAAAGAAATTCACAATCTAATGCAACACAAAACACTGCATGATAGCAGTGCTAGTGACTTAATGTGAACATATAACCTCAATTCCAAAAAAGTTGGGACGCTGTGTAAAATCTTCATAAAAACAGAATGCAATGATTTTAAAATCTCATAAGTACATAATATATTCACAATAGAATATAGTAGGGATGCACTGATACCAAGTACCGTACTCGGTACATGTACAGATTCTTTTCGAGCTCCAAGACTAGACTAGAGAAAAATTCAAAAGTTAGGAGGCAGCTGTCATTTGTAAGGAGCACACGGAGCTCCTGGAATTTGTACATCTCTGTTTTAATGTATGATTTTGTTTTTATAAATATAAATAAAGGGATACACCGATACTAGTTTTGCAAGTACAAGTTCTGATACTTGTCCAAGTACTCACAGATACAAGTACTAATACATTTTTGTTTATTGTCATGTGACAGTTTTTCTGAAACAATACAGACTTATGATTTCAGGACAGTGGTGGAGCACCAGAGCCAGGTCCCAGCTGCAACCGCTGCAACCCTGGTAGTTCTCGTGAAAATGCCAAGTATCGGCACTGGTACTCGAAAGGTATCGGTGCATCCCTAGAATATAGAAAGCATATTCAATGTTTAAACTGGCCAAAATGCAATATTGGATGCCTCTGATCTTCAGGCTCTCAGACGGCACTGCATTAAAAACAGGTATGATTCTGTGATGGACATCACTGCATGGGCTCAGGAATACTTTCAAAACTCACTGTCTGTGAACAGAGTTTGCCATGCCATCCAAAAGTGCAAGTTAAAACTCTATCATGCAAAGATGAAGCCAAATCTGAACATGATTCAGAAACACTGCCATCTTTTCTGGGCCAAAGCTCATTTAAAATGGTCTGTCGCAAAGTGGAAAACTGTTCTGTGGTCAGGTGAATGGAAATTTTACATTCTTTTTGGCAACCATGGGCACCGCATCCTCCGGACTAAAGAGTAGAGGGACCGGCTTGTTATCAGCACTCAGTTTAAAAGCCTGCATCTCTGCATATGGTGCGTATGGAAATGTCAGCTTGCACATCTGAACAGGCACAATCAATGCTGAAAGATATATTCAGGTCTCAGAGCAGCATATGCTCCCATCCAAACAATGTCTTTTTCAGGGAAGGCCTTGCATATTTCAGCAGGATAATGCTAAACCGCATACTGCATCTATGACAACAGCATGGCTTCATAGTAGAAGAGTCTGGGTGCTTAACTGGACTTCCTGCAGTCCAGAATTTTCACCAATTGAAAATATTTGGTGAATCTTGAAACGAAAAATACGACAAAGACCTGGGACTGTTGAGAAATTAGAATCTTATATCAGGCAAAAATTCATCTCCCAAAACTCCAGCAACTGGTCTCCTCAGTTCCCAGATTTTTACAGAGTGTTGTTAAAAGAAGAGGGGATGCTACACCCTGATAAACATGGCCCTGTCCCAACTTTTTTGAGACGTGCTGCTGCCATCAATTTAAAAATTACCTTATTTTTTTCTTTAAATGGTACATTTTCTCAGTTTAAACATTTGATATGTTTTCAATTGTGAATAAAATATGAGATTTCTTCAAATTATTGCATTCTGTTTTTATGTAGATTTTACACAGCATCCCAACTTTTTTGGAATTGGGGTTGTAGTATACCTAGCGGGCACTACCATACAATGATATCAACTAGGCAAATATTTGCTACTGTAGCAAGTTCAAAGTAGTATTGCTCCATCAATGTAAAAAAAAAGAAGCTAAGTGCCTCGCACCCCAGTGACAGGGTTTGTCTTCATTATCTCATTACTCTTTCAGAATTCTCCCACCCTTACAGTAGAGGAGTAACATACCTCTTCCAGAAGCCTCTGCTTAAGTTCTCGCTCAGTCTCTAATTTCTGTTGTAAACTTCGCGCATTCATTTCCAGCATTGTATGTTTCTTCTCCAAATCATTTAGCTATGCGAGTCAAAAGTTAAATGAAAAAATCACACAAGTGCTAGCCCATAGCGTTTAAATTCAGCACCGAATGCATACCACAAACTGGTTTGTACTCAGTTCACAGAAACCTAAAGTTTGAAATGTAAGCATTTGATAATTATTATTATACAGGATATATATGTAGTTCACGATCACAGGGTGTTATACAGTACTTCACCCCCTAGTTATTTTTATGTGAGTAACATTTGTATACACAGATACAACAGTTTTGAATCAATCATAGATCCTTCCTCAGGTAAAACAAGCATTGATACAATGAAACAACTGGAAATCTGAGTCAGGGGAACCCTTTATAGTACTATAATAGAAGTCACCAGCACTCGATATGTGCAAGAAGTAAAGCACTTTTTATTAAATCGTCACATGCGTCAAACAGCCAACGCTACGGGGCCATGCAGGGTCCCTTCTTCTGGGCGACATAGTGACCTGGTCACTTGGAACTTGGTCACTATGTCGCCCAGAAGGGACCGTGCGTGGCCCTGAAACGTTTGCTGTTTGACGCATGTGACGATTAAATAAAAAGTGCTTTACTTCTTGCACATATCCTCCAGTGCTGGCGACTTCTATTATAGACTGCATCTGACACGGCACCATCCATGTTGTCACTTCAAGCACCAACTTCTCATCCAAGGTCTGTACGCTGTATGGAGTGCAGGTGATTTCGTATTACCCTTTATAGTACTAGCACAGAATTGTATCCAACCACACTAGGAAACAAATTAGCAGCGCACTTGATCAATTCAAATAAAAAACGTACCCAAATTTTAGAAAAATTATTATACCATCTTAAAGAATGGATAAAAATAAAAATCTACCTTTAAGCATTCCTCCCTGTGCTTTATCTGTAGTTCTCTTATTTCCTTCATCTGCAAGAGCGGGCCATGTGGTCTATTATCAGTAACAAGGACACAATGATTATGCTCAATAAAATGTCTTGCAAAAGGTAATTCCAGCTGGGGAGCCCATATTGAATATTGATGTTTTTCTTTATTTATTTTTTTTGTACAGTTCCAATGGAATATTTAAGTGAATAAACTACATACAAACTTTAGCATGTATAATATATCTTGATGTTCATCCTCCTGCCTGTATTGGGATGTGTGAAATACATTGCTCTAATTATGCTCAAACACTGTAAGCAAAGAAGACTATAAAACAATCCATTCTGTTTCATACCAAAAAAGGTGTGTATTCAGCATTGATCAAGGTAAACAATATTCCATCACTAATACTATAGATGTTTCATATTCATGTCCAAGGGGGTATCCCCTTATTTTCAATTTCTCCTGCATTTCTGAACTCAGTTTTTCTTTCACTACAGGATCACTCACAATAAATCGCACTTTCACCATCTGACTCCATGATATAGATTTCATACATTATCTGGGTGATAACTCGAGTGTAACAGTAAGTGGTTTCTATTAGTAATGTTCCTCGTTTTCTTTTAGGGCTGCAACTAACTAATTAATAATAATAGATAATGAGAATAGTTGTCAACTATTCTTATTATCGATTAGTTGGTTGGTTGGTGCTATTGCACCAGCCCACTACCTGCTGTATTTACATTCTGCTGCCGTCTGAATCTTGCCACCGGCAGCTGTCATTTCCTGGCTGAAGCTATTCAAGCGCCATGTGCTTACAATTCAATCATTAAAAATAGGGATGCACCGATAATGGTATTGAGTACCAATAACTTTTTCCCTGTACTCTCCGATACCGAATACCGATACCGGACGTCCCATTAAGGTACCAATAATTTTTTCGGTACTCGCCAATACCGAATACCGATACCGGACGTCCCATTAACTCGCCACCTGGCTTTCTGATTGCCTGGAAAGCCAGCCAGCTTCATGCTCCCTCGTCAACTCATGACGAGGGAGCATGGAGCCGGCTTACCGACCAATCAGGAAGCTGGGCAGCATGTAAGGACGCGCTGCCCGGCTTCCTGATACAGGAAGTATCGGGCTAGGCATCGGAGCATTTGGGCGAGTACGAGTACTCGGCCAAATACTCGGTCTCAGTATCGGCACCGATACTGATACTAGTATGGGTATCGGTGCATCCCTACTTTAAAAAAATAAAATAAAATTTTAAAAGGTGGGGGGAAAAGTCATTTTTGGTTTTGGCTTGCAAAATTCTGCTGCGGGAGGAGCGTTACAGTGCCATTCATTTCAATAGCGTGCGTTCCAGTGCAGTGCGATTGCAAAAAAATTGTGCATGCAGTTTTATTCTGAAGTAAACTTTATATTTGTAACACTCCATTTGCGCATTTTATTTTAAATTAAGGATGGTATTTATTTAATTTTCTTTATCCTCTTAATCGAATACATTTTAAAAAATCGCCCAACTAATCGATGAAAATAATTAGTTGCAGCCCTAGTTTTGTTTAAACCCTTGGAGTCTGTTTAAACAGCCCCGATGCTGGCGACGTACACTGTACGTCGTCAGTCACGAAGGGGTTAAAAGGGATACAGGAGTCATCCCACGATAAACTGAACTTGAATCCAGGTGTAATAATTGCCTTTCCTCCTTCCTTCTGGAGGATGGCTACTTTTATTCCCCATGTGTGTTGTAAAGTAGTCACCGCTCCAAGCTCACTCTCCTGATAGACTATAACTTCAATACAAATTGGCTAACTAAACGTGTGTAGTTCATCATGGGAGTGAGCTTGGAGAGGTGGCTACTTTACAACACACACAGGGACCATGAGGAACAAAAGTAGCCACCCTCCAGAAGGAAGGACAGTGTCAGCACCAATTCAGAGATGATTTGAGGATCTACAGCCCATTGGTGTAAAAATAAGCTATATTTTTGTTAATAGGGTATTTGAATGCATTTTTAAGATTTAACTTGAGTTTAATGTCACTTATATTAAGCTTGCCAAAGGTTATATGTAGTATATTTACTTAAATGTTAACTGTATTACATTGGTGAAACTGTACATAAAATGAAAGATAGGTTAGCAAAACTTAGATATTCCACCCAGGCATCCATATTGGAATGACCTCTAACGAAACATTTGATTGACCATAAACATTCAGGGGGGAATTCATCAAAACTGGAGAAGACAGAATCTGAAGCAGTTGTCCATGGCAACCAATCAGCTTCTCTCTTCAGTTAAGAATTGAAAATGAAAGAGATGCTGAGTGGTTGCCATGCACAGCTGCTCCAGATTTTCTCTGCTCCAGTTTTGATAAATTCCTGTCAGTGTCCCAATTGAGATTTGTAAGAGATCATATTCCCCGATCTTGTGTTAAAGGCAATAGAGAAGTACAGCTAAAGCACAGGTAGGTATGCAGGATTGCTGACCTGGACACCCTCCAACCTTTGGATTTAAATGTAGATTTTGAATCTATTTCTTTCTATTTTGATTGACCGGAGTTCTGCTAATTTGTGGGGTTGTAAATAATTTTGTGCTAGTACTATAATGCTTAATTGGTTCACCTGACATGGGCCTTCAATTTTTATTATTTATCCTGCAATTAGTTTCATTGTATAAATGCTTGCTTTACCTGAGGAAGGATCTATGACTGATTTGAAACGGTTATATTTTTATATGCAAGCTTTACTCAAATAAAATTCGAAAGGTGCTGCAGTATAATAGCACGTGGACTGACAATATATATGGTTACATATTAAAAACAAAAAGAAAAAAGTGACCAACCTTATCAGACAAACTTTCTGTCTTGAGTTTTTGATCTTTCAATGCTTGCTGCAGAGCCAAAATTTCTGCTTTGTGTTCCTTGACTGCCAGCTCCACCATCTGGCGAGACTCAGTACTACGTTGATCAGCTCGTACTCTAGATGAAAAACTATGATATATTACACATATCATAGAATTCTGCATATAAACAATAAAATCCAATCATATCATAATGCATTCATCCTTTAAACAGATTAAACATCATCAGGGACTGTTCATTTTCACACCACAGCATTGGGCTTCCTATATTTCTCTCAGTGTGATAAAAGGTCAGTATAGGACATTTACTACTAGTGCTACTAAAAATATGGGGGGTGTTGTAATGTCCAAAAAACTGGATAGAGCCCATAGAAACAGTGGATACAGTCCACAAAAGAGGACTGTTCTGGTATAGTTTACTTTAATCACGATAAAAATATAAGCATTGCAATGGCCGACTTGCATTGGATGGTGCAAGCCTCAGGGCATTTACCGTTATCCTTATTTGGTGAGCCACTGGTCTGTATGTGCATATTAGGCATCACTGTAAGTAGTAAAGTATCAAGATGACAGCTGTGTACCTGGACCTTTAAATACATATCAGCATAGCAGTCCCCTTTCTATCCTAACAAATTTATTTCTTGACCCCCACTGTACATTAAAATGGCCCCGTCACCAGGGATCACTTGTAAAAGAAGCTTGGGCTGCAAAAGGAATTCATGTATACGTATCTTTCCGATGCCCCATGTCTTTAAATGCCATCATTTTACTGCTCCACAGCCACTGGAGGTATTCCACACTTCCAGTTGTTTAAATACAGTACCTTCTCCTCCTGCTTTATACTGTATTTCCTCTTGCCAGCTTGTACATCCAATAGCAATGGCAGGAGCTACCACAGTGTGTGGTAGGAGAAGAAAGTATTTGACACACCAGGAGTTAATATTAAGTTCTGCACTGGCAGCTGCAGCACATCTGGAGATTGCTCTGATCTCCAGGGTGGGCTGCAAAGTGCTGCGGGGGTGGGCCTGGAAGATTTGATGGGTGACCCCCGAGTGGTTACCGATCAAATGAAGGGCACAATTAACCCTTTCAGTGTCACTGCTGTCCTACAGCAGGGTAGTGAAGGGATGTAAATAAACCCGGGCTGCAGGATTGTTTTATATTACTCATGCCCTTTGTGAGATCAATGTAGATGTGGTATGAGCAACTGTACAGTCATTCCTGGGCTAGTGAAGGAGCAAAGTGCAGGAAGGTTCAGGACAGAGAATGGGTGAGGGAGCTGGGAGTGGTCTGCTATGAGCCCCTCTGGGTTATGGGCTGTCAAAATCCAAGCACATCAGCTAGGTAAAGAGTGAGTCTTTGGACTGCTTTGGCTACAAGCAAAGTAGACACTAATGTTATACTGGGCCACTAATGTCTTCTTAAAGAGGACATGTCCATACTACTACATGGGGGCTTACCAGGTCCCTTGTAGCAAGAGTAGCAAAAAGTAAAAAAAAAAAAGATTCCCACTGCCCATCACACATACGCCGCATACACACACGAGAAGTCTGGCTGCACTTAAGTAAATGTCTATTACACATTACTTTAAGTTGAGGTTGATGAGCTGTAATGGCTTTTAATGTGTTGGCTATCTGCAACCTTTTGTATTGTCATTTCTGATCTAAACGTACATGTAATTTTTCAAGTCAACAATTTTTATGTAACTCATTTGCAATGTACCTACCGTACATTAATTCATGTCGTCCCAGACCAGTTGGCGAAATACAGCCAATGTATCTACAAATCTAAAATGTATGCACTTATATAAAGTTATATATATACTTTTATAAACCATACAGCGCTGGCGTATGTATCAAAACATACATGTGTTTAAGTTACCTGTACTAGGAATAAATAATACAAAATAATTTAGTACAAATATTTGGTATAGTACTAATATTACAAAATGGTATCTATTAAACTAAAACTGCATTTTAGTTTGAATTTTTCTTCACTTCTCTGCTTATTATAAAAACATATTTAGGGCATTTTTAAAAACAATTTACCAAATGCTGGCCTCAAATGTGCTAGAAAAAAATCAGTTTGGTGTGCAAAGCAGTTAAAAAGTTATTGTTGAATAAACCAGTACATATCAAAATTTCAAAATGTGGTCGGGTCACAAAGGTTTTGATTACCTTTGGATAAAAAAGGGTTCAAAGCAGAAAAAAATTGGAATTTTTACTTACCAGTAAAGTCTGTTTCTTGGAGTACAGTACTGGACAGAGGCAGATGCAGAGTAATATGCAGGTATCAGGTGATTGGACATTGGGCAGAGCTATGAGGACCCTCATACAGGTGAAACTCGAATAATTAGAATATCATGCAAAAGTAATTGCAGTAAGTGCTGCAAAAGGGGCCCAAACCAAGTACTGAGGACAGGTGCATGCTTGTACTTTTCAGAGGTCCGATATTGTTCTATGTACAATCCTTCTTTTATTGATTGAATGTAATATTCTAATTTTTTGAGGTTGTGGATTTGGGGTTCTTGGGGTTTTCATGAGCTGTAAGCCATAATCATCACAATGATGACAAATCACGGCTTGAATTATCTTGCTTTGCATGTAATGAGTCTATCTCATATATTAGTTTCACCTTTTAAGTTGCATTAGTGAAATAAATGAACTTTGCACGATATTCTAATTATTCGAGTTTCACCTGTATACAATATTGCCAAAAGTATTGGAACACCCAATAGAGGACACAGAGGGAGGGCCATGTATCATGTACTGTATTTCAACAGATTTTACTTGCAAATCAAAAATCCCCTTTCTTGATCGTACAGTACAGGAAACAAGCAGATTTAGAGACGACTGGGATGACAAAAGCAATAGAACAGAGGTGTGTGCAACATAGCAAGCAACTGCGAACAGGAGCACATAAATGACCAGGGGAAACCCCAGCGCAGATAGCAGCCTTAAAAATCTACATAGCAGATGCCTGATACCAAAAAGCCCAAGAGGCACCGATAGATCTTGTAGATTGTGCCTTCACAGGAAAGATGCAGAAAGCCCCCTGTGAGGTCCTTCAGAAAGGAGAAAGAGACAATCAGATTGCACAAAGCTGTAGCCAAGAGATAAATGGTTTGAACCATATCCAATCAGTGGAGGAAGACATCCCTAGTATAATTCTGAGTGGGACAAAAGAACGATGTCCTGATTAAGATGAAATTAGGACCCCCTTAGGCAAAAAAGGAAACCTTAGACCTGAGAATAACCTTATCCTTATGAAGAACAAGGAATGTTTTTTGCTCGATAGTGCTGCCAGCTCAAAAATTCTCCTAGAGGAGGGAATAGTAACAAGGACATCCACAGTATGTCACATATATATCTCTGATAGCTTCAAAGGGAGCTTTGCTGGAGAGATGAAGATACCAGATTGAGATCCCATGGCATAACTGGAAGGCATTTAGGAGGAGCCACATGACCGAATCCCTGTAGAGAGGTGTTTACCATGAAAAGAAAGGCCAATTCCCTTTGAAAAAGGATGACCAAGGCTGAAATGTGCCCTCGCACTTAGGGCCAGGTGTTGATCCAACCCCAAATGAAGAAAGGCCAAAATCTGTTTCATGGAGTATTTCCAAGGATTAAAATTTCATTGTTCACACCTGGCAAAGTAACCCCACCAGGTGCGATGGTACACCTTGCGAAAGGTGGACTTCCTGGCCTGTAAAACTCTAGGAATATCACACAGACCTCTATCCCTCAGGACCTGGGCTTCAACAGCCAAGCCGTCAAAGTCAGCGACTGAGAAGCAGGATTGGGAATCGGGCTTTGAGACAGAAGGTCCGGACGGTCTGTAAGTGGCCACGGGACGTCAGCCAACATTCAAAAAATAAGCCAACATTCAAAAATGTACGCGTACCACTAAGCAGTCGAGGAAGGATCTCCAATCAAGGAAAGGCATAGATCAGAGAAAACTAATCCAACTAAGCCACCATGCATCTACCTCGGCACTGTACAACTTTTGAGGAATGTGTCCTCTAGGAGATATTTACTGTACAAATTATTTAGGAGGGACATATAATTTTTTCTGGATGTTGCCAATCCACATACAGTAAAGCACCTTCTCTACTAGAGAGTGTGTCGGGAAGGTCTTAGCAAGGCTTCTTTTTCCTAAAGCAACACATGCTGGTGTGACATTAGGGCGATCCAGCGCAGGTTCAATGGTTAGGCATTTACTCACCTCATCAAGAAGCACTGAGATGGTGTAACACAATTTTTAAAGGTTAGTGAATGGCGGATTCTTCTGTATCGGGTGGCATGTTTTGTATCTGCTCCTGTACTTTTCTGGAGGCACCCTAGAGTGGGTGGATCCGCTGGGTCCCTCCCACACCTTAGCTCTATTCAAAGGCTTTGTGAAGCATAGTGATGGTATCACCATTACTTTTAGAAGGTAACATCTGAATTTGCTAGGGGATATGGCGCCCACAAAGGAAGGAATATAATCAATGCTTTTGTGCCCGGAGTTCCGCTTTAATGTTTAAAATAAAACACAATTTTTATGAGAAAAAGAAAAAAAATGTTTACTTACCGTAATATATGTTAAGTCTATTGAGGGACACAGGTATTCCTAAAATGTTGCACAAGATCTGATCAGATAACAAATGTTTCCAAATCAGCCTGACTAAAAGATAATTAGGGTGACCAAGAAACATTTGCCTAAGCATAGGCAAGAAAGAGAAACAGCCACTCTATAGCATGAGTTCATCAGCAGAGTAGAAGACAGCAAACATCCAACAATTATCGAGTGGCCCTGGTTACACAGAGGAACTCTTCAAGCCTGCTTAATCTTGAACAGAAATAATGTTTCCAAGAATCATTCACCCCGCCCCATGGGGGGGGGGGGTTAGGAGTTCTGATATAAACCTTTCAAAAGTCTGAACCCCAGCCTCAAAAAAGGACCTGTTTCTTAGTTAAACAGAGCCCACTGAATCCTCCAGGCCTATCCCTATCCTCTTCACCCATAGGTGCCACTAATGGAATCCACCAGACCATCCAAAAATAAGCTTGTACTGGCATGCACAAGATAAGGAGCGCTTCATTGCGCAATCCTCACCTTGAGGGTGGTGCTCCCTCTAGGCTGCAAGGAGTGAAAGAGAGCGCGGAGTGCATGCAGAATTCCACCCAGGGAATGAGGTCAGTGCTCGTTCCTACATCCCTATCCCTCACCACGGTGGAACTGGTGGAGGCGGGAAGTTTGAAATTACGTCCAGTGGCACAAATAAGGATGGAGTTCCCAGTGCTCCAGCCCAAGCAGAATTACTCACGAATTGAGTGTTCAGAGACAGGGTCACACCAAAAAAGGGATTTATTAGAATCTACACTGGAGCTGTAGAGAAGGCGTCCATCCTCCTAGGACACCAGTGAAAAACAAAATGCATGCTGTGTAGAAGAGGGGTTATATTAGAGGCAGGCTTATGATTTTACGTAGCGCTAAACAAAAATGGCAACCTCAGAATTGATGACTAACCTTGATAGCAGGGTGCATATGAAAGGGCTTACAACAATACAAGACACAAACATTTCCTAGCACACTTACCAGCTAGCCTGCAACAAAAACAATTGCACTGTCTAACAATATGCATAAAAACAGAGGTTTTAGTTGCACAACTTTTGAAAAATATGTTGAAGCCACACTGCCTTGTCAATGCTCCTTTGTGTAGTGTGGTCCTAACTCTAATCTTTGAGAGCCTCCATATTAGAGCATATTTAACATTAGATAAATTAAATGCAGATATGCCTGGAGGTGCCCCACTACAGGGATGCACTGGAGGCCCAGCACTTCAAAATGTACACTGAAACCTCTAGTGCGTCCCCACACCAAATACAGCCAAGCTAAACAACAGCTAGCCTGCAACAAAACAATTTTTAACACATATTTATGCACAGTTTCATTTGTTTCGTTGCAGGCTAACTGGTAAGAGTGCTGGGAACCTTTTGTGTTTTGTATTGTTGTAAGCCCTTCCATTTACACCTTGCTATCAAGGCTAGTTATAAATTGTACAGTTTGCCATTTTTAATTAGTTTGGCTGTATGTGGTGTGGGGGATGCACTGGAGGCTTTAGTGTACATTTTGAAGTACTGGGCCTCCAGTGAATACCTGCGCCTTTAAGGAGGAGTGGGGCACCAACAGGCATACCTGCATTCAATTCATCTACTGCTTAAAGTGATATTAAAGTCAAAAGGATTTAGAGCCATTCAAATGCTGATGAATTCACTTACAATGGATGCTGCTTCTTGATGTTTAAAAGTTTTAGTATTCTGCAGAATCAGCTGGTCTCCTGAGCACTGGTCCTGACTTCCTGTTTTAGAGTGACTCCTTTCTCAAGCAGAGTGCTATGCAGTCACCCTTGCGTGTGCCAGTAAGCTGTGTGTGTCTCCACAAACACACAGACACCACAAATCATGCTACTCCCCTCCCCCCTGGCCCCTTCTCCTCCACCCTCCAAGGAGATGAACAGTTGCTGGAGTCTGCTCTGTCCCTTGTGATCTTGTACTGGACAGGAAGTTCAGGAAAGCTGAGTCGTGATACTTAGAATCATCATGTTTCTGAACAGCTGCTTCCAAGTGTTTGGGCAAAAAAGTAAAGCAATGCTTTGCTGGGCAATGTATATTTGTTTGATTTGGATTAATTATCGACAAATGTTTGAGCGTTTAATACTACTTTAAATATGGAGGCTCTCAAAGATTAGAGTTGGGACCACACTACACAGAGGAGCCTTGACGAGGCAGTGTGGCTTCCACATATTGACTAAAACAGTGTCATTTATTTTGTTGCAGGCCAGCTGGTAGGTGTGCTGAGAAATTTGTGAGTCTTCTATTATGTTTTTACGTAGCATAGTGTCAGATCCCCGGTGCTTGTGGCAGCTAGCTGATCAACCTTCCCCCCATAAGGGAATCACAAAAGCGATCTTCGCACACCTTTCTGCTCCCTCACAAGGACTAGGGAACCTTTAACTTGAATTCTACAAAAAAGCACGGAGCACCCCTCACGGCTGTTCGTCTGTTTGCAGCTGATGAGTTTCCGGGCCACACCCCCTTTGTCAGAGCCAACCAGGTCTGCTGCAAACACAGACGAACAGCCATGAGGCAGCATGTCAGCCAGAGGAGCGGTGTCCTCTGTGTTGATCCACTGAAACCGGGTTCACCTTTCAGAAATTGACTGAGAGATCGATTTAAGCGCTTTTTACTGCACGTTTTGTGAGTATTAGTTTATAATTTGCCACATTGAATAAAAGCGATTCTGCACATGTTGGAGCGATCTGTGCTTTTTTGTAGAATTTTTACGCAGCATGTTCATTCCTCCTTTAGGAAAGAGTATAACCTAACAGCCTAAGAAATCCTGTCTCCCTTATGGACAAGAAAGGCTAGCACGCCCTATGTTCACATTTGAGTATAGACTTGCTTTAACTGAAGACATTTTAAAGACTTTTATATAATGCAAATATAGATCACTTTGAATCCTCACCTGCCCTGTTTCTCATTATCCAGCAACCTTTGCACTTCTCGAAGTCTGCATTCAAATTGAGTCTTCTCATCCTCTAATGAACTTCTCCAGCTCTCCCACTGGCGTTCCTTTTCCAGCAGCTCATCATTCAGTGCTTCTAGATCCATTACTTGTTCCTCCAACATAGTACATGTGGTTTTTAGGGCTTCCATTGTCTACAATTATAAGATCACAAATTACAACTTGTGTGCCCCTTTAAAACATAAATTCTATCTATAATCTGTTAAACAAAAAAGAGATATCTATCATGTGTCTGTCAAATCTTGAAGTTAACATCCCTACTTCATCAAATATTGTACCTGTGAACCATTTCTGTGCCAGTAGCACAAGAGGCTATTACAAACCCTCTAGTGCAAATAATAAAATATTAGGATTCTCCAAGGAGTTCCATGACAATATGGGGGCAACATGCCAAGAGCATTTATAAGGTAAAATAAGCCCCCATCAAGAGCTTTTATAAGGTAAAATAAGTCAGCAGTGAATTTTAAAACCCTTAAAGCAAATAAAACACACTTATCTAGCAGCACACAATTACTTTTCCTACCTTCCTCTGCTGTTCTCTTCAGCTGCCAAAAGTGAGCAAAGAAAGCCTGTGTAAAGCTGACCATACATCTATAGATTATCTGCAGATTTTCTATGGTCAGATGGGAAAAGTGCAACAGATTCCTCCATCAACGCTAAACTGTGTGGATGGAGGAATCTCCTGCTGGGCCAAGCTTTAGTATCTTGCTAGTCGGCGCCGCTGGCTGTCAAACTACCTGAACAATCTGGTGGATGCAGGCATTGTTCAGGTATTTTGAGAGCCAGTGGGGCCGACTAGCAAGATACTGAAGCCTTGCCCAGTGGGAGATTCCTCCATCCACACAGTTTTTGTAGAATGGAGGAATCTGTTGCACTTTTTCCATCTGACCATAGAAAATCTGCAGATAATCTAGAGGTGTATGGCCAGCTTAAGCTCAGAGTCACTCTCGTTGTAGCGTGCACAGGGCTGAGGTCTGCTCCTCATGTGACAGCTCTGGGACAATTACCAAACAGCAGTCCCATCACAGACAAAGATGAGTCAGTCAGTGTCATAGAATGGCAGGGAAGCAAAGGAAAGGTGAGCATGCTAGTGAGCATAGTTAAAAACTACACACAACCTGGCAAGCGTTTATAGACACAGACTGAAGAGCATCAGCAGACGCAAGCTGCAGTAGAGGAACACACACTGACATACAGTGAGAGATGAAGGCTACAGGCTGTGACATAGATGCTAAATGAAGGACTAACACTGATAAACAAAAACATAGGAACGCAATTGCCCCTCTCTGGGTGATAGTTGGCAGGGCTTGTATCAAACAGGGATGGGTTTTCTGCACTTACAGGCTAAACTAAATTGAGAGTTAAAGAGCCTCTTTCTGTTATGCATCTCAATGTGTAACTGTCGATTTCTGAATGCGAATCATGTTCTTAAGTTAAAAAATGCTATTTATACATATTTAACAAGCAGGAAGTGACTGACACAAAAGTTTTATTCCCCCACACACTTGCTATGCAATTAATTACTAAGAAAGACGGTTGAAGGTGCTTCATACAGCAGAAAATAAAACATACGTTGAAAGGATGTCAAAATCAATAATTTGATCAAGGGGAAAACATGTACTTTGTCTCAAAGGTGACAACACCATACCTGTTTCTGACTGGTCAGTTGCATCTCCCTCTCTGTAATTTCACGTCTCAGGTGATCCACTTCACTTCGGAGTTGTATAATCTCCCCTGTGGCCCCTGAAACGTCGGTCAGCTGTTTGGACAGGAAGAAGTTTTGATCGTTTAGCTCTGCATTTTCTTCACTCATACGGTTGAGTTGATCTTCCAGGTCTGTAAGAACCTAGCATACAATAGCAAAAGGAATATACATCTTATCGATTGTAAAATGAAATTGCCACCTATCTAAGACACCATCTCATAAGTAGATGTGCTTGTTTTCTATTGTTGATGTCAGACTAGTGTTCTGACACAATGTCACAGAAATGCATGGTATTGCAGTTAACCAAGAATCTTGATTGAGAAAGAAAATCTTTATAAAAAAGGAAGTAATATTAAGTAAAAGGGATGTGCTTACCCCTGAGGAGAGATGTCCATTCTACTGAGGACACTAGTAAAAAACTGACCCTGTGTCCCATAATGAATTGAGGGAAGCCTCTTTATAGAAATCTATAGATGTCTTGTATTATTTGTATACATACATGCAATATATAATATACATATACACATATATACACACACGTTTATACGTTTGTTTATAAGACTGTAGACTGGTAATCTGAGATGCCAGGCAAATAAAGATGCAGGAACACACCTCACCAAGTACTGCCCTTCTTCTTAACCTCATCTTTAAAACATTTCCTGCAAAATGTCTCTTGGTAAGATTTTACCTTGAAAATCATCTGAGATTACATTTTATTTTACTCCTGATTGTTTCTTGGACATACAAAGCAGGTGGCCACATGGAAAAGACCAGGATAGAAAATTGACGGATTGTCCAGACACAAGCCAGGTGTCAAAACAATGTGGAGAGGCCAACAATTCTATTCCTAATTGCTTGTTGGGCATACAGAGCAGGTGGTTACATGACGAAGGCCAGGATAGAAATTCACAGATTGTCCAGGCACAAGCCAGGGGTCAAAACAATGTGAACAAGCCAACAATTTCATTTATAACAAAACAGAACTCTGTATATATTTCTCTTCAAGGCTAGTGTGGTTAATTTCATTTATAAAATCCAATGCTTCATGAGCCTGTATTTGTCCTAATTCACAATTGTTCTGGCAACTCCACACAAAGTCTAGCAACATAAGCACAGACCAAAATGAGCAAAGTGCACTTTCACTATCAATTCCTCTCAGGCAGAGTGCATTTGGTATCACTCCGTCTGTGACAGGAGCCGGCGCTATAGAGGAAGCATCGGCCTATGCAGCTCTGCTCCCTCCGTTGCTGCCTCGCTTCCTCTGGCGCTGGCTTCGTTGGCACCGCTGATTCTCTCCTGCCTCTCCCGCGGCTCTTCAAGTTCCCCCTTATGCCACCACCGGCCCTGGGAATGGTCATAACTAGGTCTTATTTTCAGGGTAGGTCTTATATTTTAGCAATTCCCAAAAATAGTACTAGGTCTTATTTTCAGGGTAGATTTTATTCTCGGGGAAACTGGGTATATAGGGATGCACCGATACCACTTTAAGACCGAGTACGAGTACCGATACTTTTGATCAAGTACTCGCCATACCAATTACCGATACTTTTTCTTAAAGGACCAGGTCACATTTTTTTATTTTTTTTTTAAATGAGAATTGTTTTATTTGTCCACAGACAGCACATTGTGTGGCTTTTTCAGAGACTTCCCAATTGACACGGCACATACAAGGACAACAAGAAGACTGAGACATCCGACGGCCACCAACACCCAGAGCTCCACAGGGGCAGACTCTTCCTTTGTCATTTGAAGTGCAACATCGCTTTGTTTTGGCCCAATCACAAGGAGAGGTCCCACAGTGGTCACGCTTTGTCCACCTTCTATGTGCGGTTCATCCAAGGCTTCCCTCTTGCCAAATGCTCTCGGTCTTCCAAATCTGGTCCTTCCTCCTGTCATCAGATTAGGGTTGCTGCAGGTGCCTGTTGTCTGACAACACTGGCAGATATTGCTGGGGCCCTCAACTGCAGACCAGCCATTTGTGGCCTTGCTGTAGGAACAGGCCTTGTTCATGGAATCCGGGACCTGGGTGGCTGCAGCAGCTCTCAGGTAACAGGTTATGTTACACATTTTTTCTAAAGCAATACAAACTAATGATTTTAGCTCAGTTTTTTAATATTATGATTGATGAGATGAAGAGGGAGCATGACGCCAGCTTCCTGGCCAATCAGAATGCCGGACGCTGCGTCATTACACGGCACCCGGCTTCCGGATTGGCTAGCTTTCTTAATATAAATTCTGCTGCCGGATGTGCATTGCAGTGCCATTCATTTCAGTGGCACCCCAAACGCGCCTCCTGCCTGCAGTGTGATTGCCTGCATGGAAATGTGTGGTGCGATTGCAAAAAATTTGCAGTTATACTCTGAAGCAAACTTTATGTTTGTAACACTGCATTTGTGTATTTTATTTTAAATAAAAGAATGTATTTTTTTTATCTGCTTACTAGAAAAATAATTGGCCAACTAATCGATTTTGAAAATAATCGTTAGTTGCAGCCCTAAAGTGTTGCTGTGGAAAATGTACAAAGGGTATCATGTAAAAAATTCACCAAAGACACTAAAAATTATTACTCACTGTACAACTGTCCCGCAAAGTATCAAACTTGCGTTGAATCTCATCTCGGTGTGACTAGAAAAAAAAACCATACAATAATACATTTTTTTTAGCTTTTTCCTAATGTAAAATAACATTGAGATAAACAAACAGGCAGACTTTTACCCTCAAGGCTTGGATTTCCTCCTCAGCCTCTGCAGTAGTATCCTCCAGTTCAACTTTTGCATGGTGTAGCTGACTTTCCAAAGAAGAACGTGCTGACTGTAAAGAGCCAATCTGGGATTCCCTTTCCTGTAATGTCAGCTGCAGCTCAGTCAACTGCCTCTTCAGTTCCAGCTTTTGCTCCTCATGCTCCAGACTAATCTAGAATGTAGGCAGTGGTAAGACTAGTAAGCACAGTAAATCTACATTTACATTATTTAGCAGTGTTGTTGACTGATCGCATGCTCCTGTACTGCTGGATTTGAGCACGAATGATCAAAATACCTGCATATAATAAGTGTCATCTTGGAAGCAGTGGCGATAGAGGAGGTGGGGCTCAGTGACGGAGGAGGTGGGGTCCGCAAGCGATCGTGGAGGAGGCGGACAGGGGATCGGCCAGACAGGTAAGAGGGCTTGACAGCCCACCTGAGAACCTGCAGAGCCCACCATAGAGAGTCTATGGTGGGCTCTGCAGGGTCACCCTCAGTTGGGCTGTTTGGGTTCTCAGGTGGATCTAGAAATCACAGGGCCCCATACAAGATTTTGCTATGGGGCTCTGTGACTTCTAGTTACGCCCCTGCTTGGAAGCATTAAATTTAGCCACAAGAGTAGGCTTAAACATGCAAGAGCATTTTATTTACTGTTTCTGTATGGAGTCCTGTTCCTGAAAGCAGGAGTCCAGGTTGTGACTGCACATGTAAGCAGTCACAGCCAGTAAGTGAGATGTCTGTGCACTTGGATATTAAATGCAGTCACACGGAAAGAGCAGCACTTATCAATGTTAATTAGCCTATTAAGGGAAAAGAAATACAAGTACATTGGGCAGTCTTTAGACTGTTTATAGTCTAGTGTATGTGGCTGAAAACTTTGACTACACTGTTTTACAAAAAGTATTTGGAAATCCTCACATCAGTATAGTGAAAACCGAAAAGCAACATATTTCAAAATGTTTTACCAGTTGTATATTTTATAATTGGAGAACTCTAGTACAGAATAAAAAGTAAATGATCAGGTAATTGTTCAAATTAATATTGAATCGGTTCTACTTGTATATTCGATAAATAATAAAGCCTGTTGTACCGAACAGAGAAACAAGCATATTTCAGAAATCATCCAAACTTTGCCCACATATACCCTTTCTTTCAGCAGTTGGAAAATGCAAAGAGGCACAGAATGAAATATGTCATGTGACTCTCCAATTCTCATAGATTTAAAAAAATTTTTTTACAAAAATCTGTCGTTGATCTAGTTATACAGACCTTGGGGATTGTTACACGTGTACTTCCTCCAAAGACACATTTTTAAATCATATTTGAGAAATTTTAGAGAATTACCTCTCGAAGTCTTGTCTCAAGCTCCAGAAGCCGTGCCTTGTCAGTATTTTCCTGGTTGTTAATCCTCTCTAGTTGTTCTTCCAGTTTCTGATTATGAGCCTCAATTTTTCCAGCTTGGGTCTCCAAATAGAATTTTTGTTGCCTGAGTTCTGAAATCATCTCCTCTTGAGCTTTCCTAAAACAATGACATTAACACAGAGGTCTATTAAAAGAATTTGCATTTTGTACCTACTGTAAAAATCCTTTTCATTCATTCCATTGAGAGAGACAGGAAGCCATCCATTTTGGGGTTATATTGCCACCTACAGGAGGATTGAACACTGGAAAAACAAAACCAGAAGGCCAACCCAGGATATCACCTCCTACCCTCCTTCTACCAGCAAGCCTCAGTTTTGTTGCAAGCCGTACAGACAGCATAATCATAAACACAGATAGTTGGGACCGGCTGCCCTCAACGGACTCCAAAAAAGATTTTAACGGTGAGTACCAAAATCTTATTTTCTTTCTCGTCTATTAAAGGACACAGGAAGTCATTCACATTCAGGATGTTCAAAAGCAGCCCAACTGAGGGGTGGGCAACACAGCAAACGGTGACGGGTCCAATAAAAAACAATCGAACTTGGGAGCAGCTGAAAGCGATGCCTGAAGGACCTTAAAGCCATCAGCTGAGGCCTGAAGATTCACCTGGTAGAACACAGAGAATTTGTGACCAGAAAACAAGGTGGCAGCCTTGCAAAACTGAGAAACATTAGCCTTAAGCCGATAAGCCCAAAAAGTACTCACAAAGCTAGTAGCGTGGACATCGTCAATGTTACCCTAAAAGTTACCCTACACCAGGGGTGGCAAACTGCGGCCCTCCAGCTGTTGTGGAACTACAAGTCCCTTGAGGCTTTGCAAGATTCTCACAGCCACGGGCACGACTCGCAGAGGCAGATGCATCATGGGATTTGTAGTTTCACCACAGCTGGAGGGCCAGAGTTTGCCACCCCTGCCCTACACCAACAGGGTGCCAAGGACTCCTTTCCAGTCCATTAGGCTGGCATCTCTCATGAGGAGCTTCCAAAAGAGGGGGAGGACTTGACCTGATTGCAGATTGTTTGGGAACTGCAAACAGATTGGAGTAAAATCCCTGAAACTGTTCAAATGGTTAACAAACATTCCATCCACTTCATACAGAGGAAAGTTTGTCAGAGGATTTGGTGTTCTTGAAGCCCCAGACCTTGTTGTTGGACTAAGAGCCAAGTCTGGTGGGTTTGGTCATGGACATTGCAAGAGTGGTAAAGCAAAGAGGACTTTTCTTAATTTTCCCAGTCTATGGCTTAGGCTTCTTCTGCTGAGGAAGATGGGTGCTTTCTACCAGTAGCATCCTTGATAATGGTATCCAGAGTGGATCCAAAGAGGTGTTGCCCCTTGAAAGGGCATGTGGATCAGGTGCAGATGCAGGTTCCACATGCATACTATCAAGAGACTCATGGGTGAACACCTCCCGCAGCATGTCACAACTGTAGCTTCAAACTACAACCATTTGCTCCAAATGTTCTATGACCAAGGAATCAACTGCAATAGTGATAAGATCCCCTTTAAGGGACTTTGTCCAACCAGCCAAGGTTTGGCAAAGAAGGGTCACAGCTAAGAAACGATGAAGAACACTGCCTGTCAACAAGAACAGAACTCTAGAGAGGGCTTTCAACAACTTATTAGCTGGGTCCTTAAAGACAGGTGTGTCCTCCGAATGGTGGTTTCATTCTCATGGTGGAACACTGCCTGATACACAGTGGGGACAGGCCACTTTTAAACAAAGTCCTCTTCAAAAGGATACACGGCTATGTGCTAGGAGGAGCAAACATTTCGCCAGCATGTTTCCTCATAGAGGAAGACTTGGAATAGTTGATGTACCAGTAAAGTCTTTGCAGTGTTAGGGGATCTAAATGATCCAAGACTGGGAACAGCACTGTTAGAAGCAACAAGTTGATGCTCTAGTTTCAGGGTGGTGTACACTGCATCAGTAAGAACTTAAGTGGCCTCTTTTAATTTTGGAGTAATGGCAGAAGACTGCAACCCCACAGAGGCAAGCTCAAAGAAAAGATGTACATCCTCATAGGACACCAGCAAAAAAATGAGGCATGCTGTTAATAGGAGAGGTTATCAGGACTAACCTAAAGTTTTTAGTTTAGCAGTGTCCAATCCTCCTGCAGGTGGCAGCATAACCCAAAAATGAATAAATTCCTGTGTCCTCAATGGATGAGAAAGACATGGGTTTTAGGGCTTGCATACAGAGACCATTTAAAACTACTGTCTTCTTCTCATTACAGCCGCCCACATTGATAATGGGAAGAAACATCACATACGTCTATAAGACCTGACAGTCCATTAACATTTACCAACAACAAGTAAATAACACAGCGCTCTCTCAGGGATGCAGGGCGTGCGTGGATGCAAATGGTGTGGATTGCTGCTCAAAAAACAGGAGGAGAACCCTGTGAACGTAATAATGAGGCACTAAGAGCGCAAATCCGGAATTATAAATGGATTTGGATGTATGTGAAAAATAGTTTTTTTAAAAAGGTGAAGAACTTACTTGTGGTGTCAGGGATTCGGGCGCGGTGGCGATTCTGGCGCTGCAGGGAGTGTTGGAAGAAATTGTTCGATTTCCAGTGGTCTCCAAGTGGCGGAGTAGGGGTGAAATAGGACTTTTTTTAGGGGTTGTTCATGGCGGCTATGAATGGTGTCATCAGTTATAGTAGTGAACTCAGGGGTCAAGGGCTAAGGCAGAGAGCAGATTGGATGCTATGTGTGCCGAAGGGCTGATGTGGGAGCTGCCTCTGGACTTCGTTTGGTGTTTGTTCTAGATGTGATGGAGTGGAAGTGACAGTCGGTTAGGAAGGGGAGTGCACAGGGCTGTGTACAATGAGCAACGCGTTTTGAGGAGATCCTCTTTCTCAAGCTCGCAGATAGAAGGTGAGACCTTCTATCTGCGAGCATGAGAAAGAGCTTGAGAAAGACTGTCACTTCCACTTCGAGGAGATCCTCTTTCTCAAGCTCGGAATCCCTGACACCACAAGTGAGTTCTTCACCTTTTTAAAAAACTATTTTTCACATACATCCAAATCACACCATTTATAATTCCGGATTTGCGCTCTTAGTGCCTCATCATCAACATTTACCAAATGCTGTGCTAATTCATGTGTGGCATGTGTACAGGGAAGGAATTGTCACAAGCCTATCTGACACTTGGGATAGGATGTTCTGAGGAACCTGCAAGCAATAAATGCATCTGTTGCCTTTTACAAATATTGCTTAGTACATGGGAACTCTAAATTTCACAGTATTATGATACAGTGTGTTAATCCAAGATCTTTTTGTGAACATCCGTATCTGCTCTTGTCATCAAGAAAAGTAACTGGCTTGAAAGTTTGATAGTCAAGTGCTTTTGATACCGCCATAAAATATTTTTTTTCCTTTTAACACACTGCCATTGCATTTCATACTCACATGTTCCTTTGTGTAAAAAGACTGCTATTTGCTGCCAATTTGTTGGCTTCTGATAGTTCTGCTAATCTTTGTTCCAATGACTTGATCTTTGACTCCAAGGCTTTGATCATCTGTAAGATATAAAGTATCTTAAATTATCCCCTTTGGCATTAAGTCAAATGGTTTCTTAGAAAGAAATTGTTCCCAAAATGGTCATTAAATGTTTAAAAGTAGCATTTGCTTCCATCTCAAACCAAGAGCCACACAACACCTTTTCCGTATTACTTACTGCCTTCTGTTCACTAAGTAATCTATTCTTTTCACAAACTTCCTCTTTATTTTTTATACGAAACTGTTCAAGGGACTCCTTTTCTGCAGTGTCCATCTTAATTTGTGCTTGAAGATTCTGTAGGGGGAAGAGCATGTTGTATATTTTAGTTTTTGAACTTCAGAAAGTCAACTGAGGCAAGTTTTCACAAAGCTGAAAAAACAGAAAATATTTACTCTGACTTTCTCTTCATAGACTTGCTCATTCTCCTTCATATGAACATCTAAATGCTGGGCTCCCATTTGGGCTTCTCTGTACTTTTCTTCCAGTTCCTAAACATAAATATAAATTTAACTATGAAAAAAGACAATACGGTATATACAGAAAATAATTCAAAAGCTCAAATATGTGCCTATTAACAAATATCATCATTTCAAAACAAATGAATCAGCACCGTTCTAAGGCTAGGTTCACGCCTTTGCATTTTCCTTCGAATTCTTGCTATTTTTGTAATGTGAGTTTTTTTGTTTAGCTAATGAAAATTAATTAAAGGTTGCCATGAACTAAAATGCGAGCCAATGTGATGCATACTTTGTGGGTGTTATCATTAAAGTCTTTGGAGCCACAATTGCACCTGTACCACTTTTCCCAATGCAAGGTAGTGCAGCGCACTAAGAAAAGAATGGAAATTGTTTTGAGGCGCATCTTCTTTCCCCATGTTTTCATGTGTCCCTCCAGCGGTGTGACGTCACTCCGATCCAGCGCTGACTGCTCTGTCTCTCCGATCCAGCGGTGTCTGCAGGCGGGTGCACGCGTCTATAGACTTACCTTGCGTCTCTGCTCGTCTCCCGGCCGAGAATCGGGACTGCGCATGCGCCCGCCCCAAGATCCTTTGCGGCCGTACGAGCAGTTCCTGATTCTCGGCGCGGGAGCGAGCAGCGATAACGAGGTAAGTTTAAAATGATTTTAAGCGTTTTTTTGGGGTTTTTTTTACACTTCTTGCCCATATCTACTGCATGCTAGCAGTAGATATAAGCAAAAAAAACCGGAGGGTTTAGAACCCCTTTAACCATTAAAAATCATTACACATCTTATTTGTGTATTACTCGTCTGTAGATCCTCAAATCATCTCTGCTTGCATACCAACACTGTCCTCCCTTCTGGAGGGTGGCTACTTTTGTTCCCCATGGTTCCTGTGTGTGTTTTAAAGTAGCCACTGCTCAAAGCTCGCTCCTGTGATGGACTACAATCTCATGTACAGTTTACTAATATGTATTGAGATTGTAGTCCTAAAGTAGCGGTGGCTACTTTACAACACACACAGGGACCATGGGGAACAAAAGTAGTCACCCTCCAGAAGGCAGGACAGTGTCAGCACCAATTCAGAAATGATTTGAGGATCTACAGCCAAGTGATACACAAATAAGATAAATTTTTCTTAATAGTTAAGGAACTTGAATGCATTTTTAAGATTTAACTACTGAGTTTAGTGTCACTTTAAGGTTTGATGTTACGGTGGTGGCAATCATTTTTACCTTGTACACAGCAGGGCATGGGAATAAGGACAGTCATTTCGAAGAATATGCTCACTCTAGATTCAAATGAAAGCAACAGGCAATAGAAACAAAGGGTGAATTAAAAAAAGTGTGTGAGACAAGTTCCATCTCAACGGGAGTTGTTGCCCATAGCAACCAATAAGCTTCTACCTTTAAATGTTTTCACACTGCTTGGAAAATGAAAATTTAAAAGCCGATTAGCTGCGCACCAGTTGAGACAAGGTTTGTTTTAGACTGCTTTTACTAATTCCCTGCTGAATGGTTATTTTGACAATGGATTTTGCCCGGTTTTGTACACTTCTAGGGATCCAGGGCCATTGCGAAGACAACAGGAAGTATAGAAATTGTATCTTCTTTATCATTCATTAAGAGACTCAACTGAGGGGTAGGCAACACCAACAAAACACTAATAGGCCCACAAAGAAATCAACATGGCTAAATCTGAGAAAGAAAATGTTTAATGCAAAAAGGTCAAAGTAGCAATCACAGATCTGGTAGAGATGTGAGGTGGATCCAGTTCCTTATGATCATTAGGTTAAACAATGAGCTGTCTGAACTGCAAGGTACAGAGAAACATGGACACCGGCACACCAAAAGCAGATAGAATACATCTATTTATTCAATGTTTGCATGTACGTCAAATAAATAGACGTATTCTATCTGCTTTTGGTGTACCGGTGTCCATATTTCTCTGCATCGACTACCGAGCACCCATGTTATTTTGGGATATGCGGTCAGGAGTGCAATGGGTACTTGGACTGTGAACTGCAAGGTAGACACACACAGCAAGCACTACATCCAGGCAATGGAGGGAGATCATCTCCTGATGAACAGGAGCGAGACAGAGGGATAGGGGAATGAAGAACTTGTTGAGGTGAAACACCGAAACTACCTAGGAGGAAGAAAGTTCTGGGTCTCTATTAGGAATGTCCTGATACCGATGCTAGCATCGGAATCGGGCCCGAAGCAGGGCATTTTGACAAGTACTTGTACTTGTCAAAATGCCCCGATGCCTAGCGCCGAAGCTTGCACTTTTTTTTTTAATCTACTTTACCTTCCGTGGTGGGGTCCCCTGGGCAGGCTGAGCGGAGGAGCGCCGCGTCACTGATGTGGGCGGAGCGCCAGGTGGGGTCCTATATGCAGAGATCCTGCCCAGCGCCGACTACGAGAGGCACTGCGTGAGGCAACCGGGATCGGAGTGAAACTGTGAGTAAGGGAAGCTGGGACGGGGCTGGCTGTAAATCTATTGCTATAGTGTACAGGACGTGTGCACTGTATATGTAGTACATATATACCGCACACAGCTCCACTACACTACAGCAATATATTTACAATTATCCTCTGCTAACATGAATAGGTTAAATCATGATCCATAGTACATAACATGTAGTTGTACTATGGATCATTTAAAGTCACCTGTCCCTTTAAAAAAAAAAGTATCGGTAATTGGTATCGGCAAGTACATGAGGTGAAGTACTTGTACTTGGACCTGAAAAAGGGGCATCGGGACATCCCTAGTCTCTATACTGCCTTGTCCCTGTGCAAAACTAAAAATACTTTTTTTTTTTACAAGATAAGGCCAGAGGTAATGGCAACAAGGAAAGCAACCTTGTAGGCGATAGGGCAAAGGGGGATAGTCCTAATAGGTACAAATTTAAGTTTTTAAATCTCTGAAAGAACCAAGTTCAGAATCCACGGAGTCACAGAGGAATACACAGGGGAAGTCACATGGGAGACACTCATGGGAGGCCAGCGGTCTCTGGAATAAGATCAGAGGTGATTAAATCTGTCTCTAGATGGTATTCAAGGCAAAATGTTCACCCAGGCCAATTTGCAGAAAAGACAGAATTGGTCGCATGCATAATTTCTTGGGGTGAAATTTTCTAGCCAAATACCAAGCAAATGCAATGGTAAAACTTGCTGAAAGCAGACTTCCTAGCTTTTAGCATGGGGAATGCAATTCAGAGATAACTCTGGGTTTAAAGGACCTTGGCCTTAATAGCAATGCTGTTAAAGCCAGCAACTGTGAAGCAGGATGGCAAAATGATCCCGGAGTGATTTATATGATATATACACCAATCAGCCATAACCATTATCAGCAGGATAATATGCCCTGCTACACTGCAAAAATGGTTCAACAATGAGTTTGAGGTGTTGACTTGGTCTCCAAATTCTCCAGATCTCAATCAAATCAAGCATCTGTGGGATTTGCTGGAAAAACAAGTCCGATCCATGGAGGCCCCAACTCACAACTACTGATGGCTTGGTGCCAGATACCACAACATACTTTCAGTGGAGTCTATGCCTCGACGGGTCAGGGCTGTTTTGGGGTAAAAAGGGGGACCTACTCAATATTAGGTGGGTGGTCATAATGCTATGGTTTATAATAGGTATTTGTTTATATCCTGATCGCTACTTGGCCTTCAAGGGGGATGAGCAATCATGAGCTGAGCCCTGGGTTTCTTTTGCTTAGCAGATAGGTACTCTTGCACCTGGGACATTCTTGATGATAATGTCCAGGTCAGCTCTAAAAAGACGTTGTCCCTCAAAGCCATGCAAAGTAGTTGTTTCTTGCAACACTTTAACTAGAGTCATCCTCACGTTCACCGACAGGAAATGAGAGGTAAGACCCCTAGCAACCCATGCACGCACCCGGTGACATGAGCTTTAGGGGGATCAGCTTCTCATGGCTGTAACCCAATCGGATAAAGTTGGGCAGACAAGTATCACAGCCAGAGCAGGATGCAATAAAACAAGTTTTTTTCAAGGTGCTTCAATCCAATCATTTGTTGATGTTAAAAAAATAGAAAGGAAAAATGTTTTGGCTGATGTTCCGCTTTACCAAACACATTTTACAGGTTCTAAAGCCAATTAAATTGAGGTCAGGCAATGATGATCTAATTATCTAAAGAAACTGTATACCGTAAATTTACAAAAATCATTAATTGAATGGATGACCAATCTTTGATTATAGCAAACCATACTATAGCATTATATATATATATATATATACATATATATATATACACACACATATAATTTTTTGCTTAACATTTTTTAACATTAATCTAATCAAAATGTCACTAGCACATACAGACTTATGCTCATTTGCTTCTTCATAAATTGGCCTACCAGCATCGTTTTTGGTGATTGGGAGGAAACAGATCACCTTGAAGAAACCCACATAAACACAGGGAAAAAAATACATGCTACATACTTCAAATATTTACAGTTTGAAAGGAACTTAATATCAAACATCTATTAGAAACTTGTTTACAAAAACACTTTTTAAAATTGTTATAAAAACTTCGAATCTCTCTAATAAGGTTAATTCTTCCTTGTTGAAAACGTGAAACTTACCATTATTTTTTCAGCCATCTGCTGGATTTGTTGAGATTTAGTCTGAATATCTTCCTTCAACCTGTTCTCCCGGCGCTCCACATTCTCCAATTTCCTGACCTGGTTTTCCAAGGAAAGACGTCTCTCCTACATAAAATGCAACTACCAGTTGTTATCACTTCCATCTTAAGGGCAAACAGAACCTAACTGTTACATTCAATCATACAGAAGAACATAGCAGCAACAGCAACCATTGCCAAAGAAATATCCTGAACTCTAAATACTTACGCACAGGCAGACAATAAATAAGCAGCAATCACTCCACAAAATCACTGAGGATATAAATAACCTCAGATGATACCTGTAGAGTAAACTGGTATAAAAATAACCAGCAGCATATGGTGTTTAGCACATATATTTAATAACATGAAAGTCATGTTTGTATATCTGTGTGGGTTCAGGTCTTCCAGAAGCTGCATCATGCATGCACAGTATCCTTAACTGCAACTGTGTGGGCGGAAAGCACTGCAGATACATTATAGGCATGATAAACGTCCTATTTCCTGGGGACAGGAATATCTCTCTAGTAAGGCAGTGGGAAAAGGCCACAGAGACAGATCTATCCTAGTTAATTACCTGCCTTCTTGTGCTATTAGAGAATGTAATAGGCTATATGTACAAAGGCATGGACATGTGTTATACAACCAATAAGGGTTTCTAAGAATGCTGGAAAAATTGAAGGTTGTATCAGACAGTGAAAACTGAAGGACAGGAGGAGGAAGGTGTCACCTTTGGCAACCGATCTGATGCTTTAAAAGGCATAGTCCACCTTTAAAAGATAGATAAATAAATGCACATTGTTTTCTTTTATATATGTGCCTTTATAATTTTTTTGCATTGGAGCCAGTAAAGCATTGCAACCACAAATCAGTGGATCGCAGGAGCAATGTTCCAGCTGCTGTAGATTCTCCCTCCCGACCCTATCCATGCCAAGGTATGGACAATCAGTAACAGGGAGGAAGAATGAATGGACTACAAGTGCGGTGATGTCACTGCATTTGTATTCCATTGAGAACTACAAATTGTTCTGCAGCAGTAGCAGACAGGACTTGCAGTTTATTCTATGAAATGATCTGTGAATGGATGACACAGCTGTGTCAGCCAGCCACGTACAGCCTTGCCAAATTCAAAAAAGAGCAGCAGCCTGCAGGAGAAGAACCCCAAAATCCAGGTAAATGTGGGTCGGCGATGTAACCATGTTTCATCTTACACCCTGAATACATATGTAACATGAAACTTGGTCTAAATGGTAAACAAAGCCTTTAAGACTCCCCTGTGATAGCAAGTACATCTTTCAGTACTTTGTGCTGAATAGAACATCAGGGAAGCAAAAGGAAAGGTTAAAGGAATGGGGAAAGTTGCCCCCAGTGCATTTCCAACACATTTGGGATCCTTAGCTTTCTCAGGAGGCCACAGGGAGGCTGAGTGCCATCATTGGCAACTGGGCAAGCTGGCCAGAAAGTGGGATCTAGGATAAGTATCTTTTTTTGTTTGGACCCAGTTGTTTTGGTTGAAGGTGTGGACTACCATACAGATGTTATATGTTTATTAGGGTGAAAGGCTTACTTTAATAACATTGTTGTGGAAAAAATAATTGATTACTTACAAGGTTCCTCCAACTGATTATGTATAATATTGCCACTATAAGATAAAACATGGATATGTGTATTTAAATGTAGTGGTTGAATTATATAAACATGCCCTACAGAATGGATGTATTAGTTTTATTTGTTTTAACCAGTGTGCCTTTAAAAAAACAAAAAAAAACATTCCCACTGTTTTTGGAATATTTTTGATATTCTGTAGCAGTCACTTAGGCTGGGTTTTTTTGAATTTATAAACCACTTGCTGACCGGGGTGTTTATACCCCTTCCATTTTTCAGTATTTAGTGCTACAGTACTTTGACTGAAGTTTATTCCACCATGCAATGCTGTACTGAAATGAATTTTATGCCATTTTTTTCTTTCGGTGGTATTTAAATCACCACTGGGGTTTTCCCTATGTTATAAAACATTTATTATTAATTTTTTTTTGTAACTAATTTTTTTTAAACCTTTTTTTTTTTACTTAACTTTATTGCCATCACATAGGGGACTAACAAGCCCCCTATGTGATAGCCAATTTGCAGTGACAGGTCCTCTTTATGGAGACATCAGGGGTCCTTAAGACCCCTGTCACCTAGGGACCCCCAGAGAAGCTGATGAAGCAGGGACCTGTTTCACCAGCTTCTCTCCGACTTCTGTACCGGAGAGTGACAGAGGAATGCGGAAGTGATGTAATACACATCACTTCCTGCATTCCGACGAGGAGGAGATCAAACAGAGATTGTGTACTGAGCTCCGTTTTATCTCCAGTCACACAGCTGCTGTTCTGGTCCCTAGCTCACCCCGAGCTCGGAATCGCCAGCAGCGGCTGCAACGGAGGGGGGGAGGCGCACACCCGCACGCACATTAGAAGCGATTGGGCGTCTCTACAGACGTCCAAACGCTTGTATGTAAACAGCCATCGCATAACGGCGGGCATGAGCTGGGCGGGATGGGACGTCTAAAACGCCCACCCGCATCCAAGAAGCCGTTGTCCGGCCATTTGATTACAACATCCGGACAGCAGATGGTTAAAAATCTCTATTAGGTGGCCATAAAAAAAAATAATGATACACTCTGCTTCTCTTAAACACATAAATACACTGATTACATAAGAAGTACTTCTGCCTTAAAAGAACATTGCTAGCTTGATAATCAAAGTGAAAACAGAACACTGAACTACTAATCCTATTAACCTGTGAGTATGCCTGAAAAAAGAAATCTAATGCAGCCACCACATCTAAGGACTGGAAAACTGCAATATATTACATCATTTTTGGGTTTAGATAAGCTATAAAGCAACAATGTGAGCTTGTAAAAAAAAAGGTGCAAACTGGGAAATTTCAGCAAATAATTCTATGCAATCAGACAAATCCAATACAATGACACATAGAAGGAAATATAATCACACAAGCAGGGTAAACACTAACACCACAGAATCAAACTTTTTTATTTAAAAGAGAACTATAGGGTAAGCGTTTTTCCCCATAGTTCTCTTAAGGGTCATGGGAGGACATATACTAACCTCTTCCCGTGACCCAAAGCTCAGTATATCGCGAGCTACAGCTCGCGGCCTACTGAGACCGCTGCAGCAAGGACGGATCCCAACATTACTGTCGAGATCTACCCAGCTGCATGACAGCGGGCTCTGCATATCTAGGAGGCAGAGCCAGCAGTACCCGCCCCCTCCCCACCCATTCCGCCAGTCAGCGCTGGAGGATCTGAGTGGGTAGGCGGGGAGGAGTCCCTGTAGGGAGCCATGAGTGACAGTCACAGCTCTCTGCAGGTAGATGATCGTGAAGTGAGCGAGCAAGGGTATGTGTTCGCTCACTTCCCGATCTATTGAGCCAACGTGTGACAGTTTCATTGTCACACGTCGGCTCAAACTATGAGGATGAGTGATTTTCACTCACCTCATGGTTTTCCTTTAAGTACTAGGGACAAAAAAAAAATCATAGAAAGATGTGAAAACCGTGGCCCCCACCTCAGCTTCAGACAGTTTCTTCTTTATGCCATCATTTGAGTCTTCTCTGTTTCTAAGTTTCTCCAACTCTTTCTCTGCTCTCTCCTTTGCTTGGCGAATATTTTGGAGCAATTCTGTAGCTTCAGAACTGGCTTTAACTGCCTGAAATGACAATAAAAACAATGAAAGCAAAAGTTTCGAAACACTTTCATACATTATGACAAGGCTGATGGACTTACTTATCATATTATTAGGGATGCCAGTCCATTTTAAAAGCAAAGTACACAGTGGTCTAAGCCATTGATTTTCACCCACTGTTACAAAAAAGTGTGTGTGTGTGTGTGTGTGTGTGTGTGTGTTGGGGGGTACTTGTTCAATGGATAATTCTGCTTGTACTTAACAAAAATTGTCAGATTTGTAAAATAAGCTAACCTACAAGAGGGGGTACTGGGTGAACATACTGTATGTGCATGCATACCTGCTGGGAGGTACGCGTGACAGGTTTAATGGATAATTCTGCTTCAAAACTTAACAAAAAATTGCTTAGATTTTGAAAACATGCTATTTGTTGTTTCTACAAACGTCAAGGTGTACCAGAGATGAGCTACCCTACAACAGAGGGTACAGGGTAATCAATGGCTTTATTAAAAAGAGATACATGCATTAATAAAGTTCAGAAACATTGATGAAGGCCATCAATACAGGAACATGTGCTGTTTTATACTGTAAATGCAGCTTCACCTCTGTATCTAGAATCAAAAGGTGCATACCACATGCTTATACGATAAATCAGATAATGTTTATGCTTAATATATCTTTACGCTTTGGAAATAACTCATGAGCATTGGTGATTAAGATGTCATTTGGGTGGGTTAGAGGTGAAATGTTTTTACCTGAATATTCAAATCGCTACTATTCGTTGGTTGAAAATGAAGCACTTCCTAATTCAGATCTTGCATGACTTTTACTGAAGCAAAAGTCAAGATGGCTGCCATTGTTTGCATCCACTGACAACAAGCATCGCAGAGATGTGTGCGGGATCTCAAAATATCCCCCTGTCTAAAAGCTGGATCAATAGGAAGAGAGTATGCCGGCAGCCAGGTTGGCATAACAGGGGATACATTAGGGAGCGACTGGTGAGTGTCAGTGCTGAGTATGAATGATAATCACATGTCTCAGCTGAGGTTTGCTTTAAGAGAGTAGACATGAATAAGGAAGGTGCCACATAAAATATTTTGCTTTGCTTTCCCTGTAACATGACCATTCCTCACTATTGAATTTACACTGAATCTGGCCATCAAGGTTTAAGCTGAACATGCTTCTCTATTGTTACCGAACAAAAGAAAAAATATTAAAGCACTGTACCCAGCAAAGTGGTTTGATGAGAGATGGCTCTTTATTAGGCTCTCAGCTCAACCATTAAGGGGTTTTCCAACTAACAAAGTAATTTATGTTACTACAATTTAAGAGCCAGTCTGCCAACCAGTGTTGCCTAGCACTCTATTGTGCTGTGGTATTTAAACCTGAAGGAGATAGGGGGATGAATATTCTACTTGATGCTCTAAACAACTGTGGTATAGCATAGATAAAAAATGTCTTCTCTTATCCTGTGTGTCTTCATACTGTTTGCCTTTTACCTTGTCAGCATAGCATGTTAACCTGTTCTTTACATTTTGTCTAACGTGACAGGTGCCCTTTTAGGCCCCATTCACACCAGGGCGGGTGCGGATCAACGCGGTTTCCAAAAAGGCGGTTTTGGGCGTTTTGAATTGTGTTTCAGAGCTGAAACACAATTAAAAACTTCCAAAAGCGCACTGATCAGTGTGGTTCCATTGAAAGATGTATGGAAACCGTGCTGATCAGTGCAGGAAAAAAAGCTCAGGGAGCAATTCAGGTGGGAGGCGGTTCTGATTGAGCAGTCGCATGACCGGTCCCCATAGCAATGTATGGGAACGTTCATGTCGATGGATCTGCACGGCCGACCCGTCCCGGTGTGAACGGGGCCTTAAGAGGATATATAATCTTTTCAATGTTTTCTCAAACAGGTGTGAAAAACCACACAATAAATGCAATTGTTGTTGGCATAAACCTTGTTTTATGGAAACTTACATATGTACATGGGGGCAGCCATATTTGTTCAATACATAAGTAGACTTTGCTTCCTGATGCTCCTCTTATCTCAAAGATAAGGTCTGCCCAATTGAAAAATCGACAGACCCTCTGCAGTCCCCAATGATATTGTATACTTATATTGCACCAGGTGGCCAGAGACCATACCACAGCCTAGGCTGTAAGTGTGTAAGTTACAAGATGGAACGTAGAGCGGCATGTTTATCGGCATTGATTTATAAGGAATCAGAGGCCACCTTAATTCTTAAAGCTGCTGCTCTTTTAACTGCCTGACATCACATAATGATTCCAAGCTTCTGAGTGTGTAAAACAGTATCAAATAAAAGAGCCCTGTATTTTTTTTTTCTTAGCTAAAGGTCTGTTAGGTAATTAGAATAGAAAGTAGACACAGCCTGAGCAGACAAGCCTGTCCCCTGCCAGCATGCTGCAAATAAGGACTCCTGTTCTCTGTGTGGAATCACTAGTCACTCTACAGAGGTTTGACATGCCCCCCTACGGAGTAAAAACTAGAGTTCTCCAATCAGCAGGGAGTATGAGCATTGCCAGTTGAAGAGCTATATGTCTGACTCAGCAGGGGGGGTTGTTGGACCTCTACAAAAAGACCACCACTTCCACACAGAAAGCAAAGGTTCTTCTCTGCAGCTTGCTGGCAGGTGGTGGTCTTTTTTTACTTAGGCTGTGGCTGCTTTATAAACAAAGAGAACTGTAAGACATTGCACACCTTTTTGGGGGAATTTAGCAAAACTGGAGCAGGCAGAATCAATCAGCTTCTCTCTTCAGTTTGCTCAATTGAGATCGGCTCCAGACTTTCTCCAGTTTTGATAAATTACACCCCCCCCCCCCCCCCCTTATGTTTTGATGCACTTGAAATGCATTTGGTTGATTTAAACTGAAAGTTCAAATGGGCTTTTACACTGATATGCACTACCAGTAGCTGGGAGACAGTTGGTAGCCAAAGCAGTAACTGTCAGATTTCATGTAGCCCCTGACCATAAGCAAAGTTAGATGAAGACAAAATAAATACAGCTAATTAAAAAGGGGCAAATATAACTATTTCATAAGAAAGCCTATGCAGGGCACACTTTGCCAGTAATAATTTAAGATTGAGTATTCAGATTCTTACAAAAGCCTAGTCATGATTGCTTCTATTTAAGCCTGTGTTGGCTTCAGCCCAGTTAACAATAATGAACTAAAAGCCAAAATTGGCCCAAGGCTTGCACATTTAAAGATGCCTTCCTTAGTCTCAGTGGGGAAGGCACAAAAACTGCTGCAAGCTAAAATGGGATTGGGGTCACAGCAATTTATGTGCAGGAAATTATGAAGAGATGCACTAAAAGGGCATGAGAACTACATCAAATGAATAATGATGCGAATATCAATGATACGATTGCCACATCTTTGAAATATAGCCCTCTACACTCAAGAAATCTTTATTCTGCATACTTGTTAAATTGAATTGAAAGCTAAACAAAGGCTCATACTGTACATAGTGAGAAAAATTAAACATGTATAATACAAATGAAAGCACTTTCCCATAAACAATATATCAAGTGTACTAACTTTAAAAGAGCAAGATACAAAAATCAAAGTAGTATCTATGTTTAAAGTAATTATAAAATTAAACATATAAAACTTTTGTAGTTATTATCACTGAACATTAAAAGGACGGACTTTTGTACTCGCCATAAAATCCTATTATTGGAGTACACAGGAAGAAATTAAAGGAGAACTATGGGGTTCTATCTTTTCTTTATTATTGCATTCCTTAGGCTAAATAAGTAAATTGTGTAATTTACTCCTATTAGCCAAAATGCACCCTAAGCCTGTAAACCCTTCTTTAAGATGCTGGGCGGGGCTTAGCGCCGCAATGAGGAGAGATCCCGACAGCAGCAGCTCTGTGCACGCAGCTCTCTCCTTACCTGCACGTCCCCGTCCTCTGTGCCAGCCTTCCAGACACGCTGCTGTGTAGCCCTTGATCCCCTCCCTCCTCCTCTCCATCTGCCCCGACTACTTCACGTGTAGTGTGCAGTGCATTGAGAAGATCTTGTCCCGGTTCAGGAGCTCTCTCTTCATAATTTATCACATATGGGCAAGTCCATATATGGTGAATGATGCCCTTTCTCTCTATTCATCATGTATCACATATGGGCAAGTCCATATATGGTGAATGATGTCACTGGGGATTCCTGCTGATCGGATGCTTGCCAGTCTGCAGGGATCCCCAGTGACATAATTCACCATATATGGACTTGCCCATTTGTAGTAAATGCTGAAGAGAGAGCCCTCTTTCCCCTCTCTCATCAGCGATCCAGAGAGAGAGAGAGAGAGAGAGAGAGAGAGGAGCCCTTTCTCTCTCTTCATCATGTATCACATATGGGCGTATGAACGCGCTACAAAACGTCCTACGCCCAAAGAAGTACAGGAGCTTATTTGGGGCGTTTTTGTCGCGCGTTTCCATTGGGATACAGCCAAGTAGCATGCGTTTTTTTACCACGAGCGCGACATGAAACGTGCGACAAACGTGCATATTCGATACGCCTAGGTGTGAACCTAGCCTCTATGTCTACGGTAGACACTGATGCATGGTGGTGATGAAATTAAGCTCAGGGTATGAACTAAGGCAAAACCTCAGGTATTCACAAAACACAAACAGCTGGCAGTCTGCGAGAGGCAGATGGCCAGAGGTGACCAAAGTCACTGTAGATGGGCTGTAGGAATAGACCAGAGAAAGCTGTTCCATGTCGCTCTTTGCAAAGCAGGTACAGCAGCGAGGAGATACTTCCTCGATGTTGAATAGTTAGAAATAGAGTGAGGTAATCAACATTCCACCTAACAAATAGTCACGTTACTCCAAAGTCAAGCTGAGGATAGGCTGCTCTGGACAGCTGCTGTCTTAGAGACCAGCACAAACAGCAATGGATAGAAGAAACTTGAATGAAGAGAAAAACTGAAGAAAAAAATGCTAGCTGCAAAACGGTTAGAGTTTTCCCAAGCAGAGCCAAAGAAAAGATGTCCATCCTTCAAGGACACTGGCAAAAAACAGATATGTCGGTTGTGGGAGGGGTTATCCTGGGCTGGCTTCCGATTTTGTTTGCCAGTGACCTGTAAGTGGTAGTATAAGCCATAATAGAAGTCACCAGCACTCGATGATATGTGCGAGAAGTATAAGCACTTTCATTGAAATATCACAAGTATGTATTATGACAAAGCCAATGTTTCGGGGGCCACGCAGGGTCCCTTCCTCAGGGCGACATAGTGACCTTCACCTGCGTGGCCCAGAAACGTTGGCTGTATGACACTTGTGACAATTCAATAAAAGTGCTTATACTTCTCGCACATATCGAGTGCTGGTGACTTCTATTATGGACTGCATCTGACATGGCGCCATCCGTGTTGTCACTTCAAGCACCAAACTACAGTGAAGGTCCATATGTTGTATGGAGTGCAGGTGACTTTTTGATATTAGTGGCAGTATAAGCCAACACTTAAGGTGTTCCTATTGATCTCAAAATGACAAGAAAGAAAATTAGATTACACATATTAACTGCAAACCCATATTTATAAATGTTGGTATATTATCACACCTTATGTGTTCCACCCACCTTTGAAAGTTTTTCTTGCAGCTCCTGAATCTTGGTCAGTTGTTCAGCATTGATCTAGAAGATAGAAGGTCATGTTTATTATTGAATTATCACAAACACTTAGAAAAGAAGCCATTACAATGACTTTCTGCATTGATAGCTGGCAACATGCAGTGACGTCTGAAAGTTATTACGCACATCAAAGTGCTCACACTGCGCTTCGGAAACCCCAGAATGTTTCCAAGCTGCTTTCCAATTCCCAGTACACACTACATCCCACAAGGCAATACAAGTGATTTGGCATTCAATTAAGAGGTGACCACATTGCAATGTGGAATGTGATGGGGTGTGCCTAAGCGTGACTTTCTCAAAAGTTGAAACATGCATCTTCCTGGCACCAGATGTGGCCTAATATCAAAGCTTAACAACAGTTTTATGTCTAGTTACCAAAAGACACAAACAAAGCTATATCTATATATTCCGATAAGAGATAGGAGGCTGAGCGGTGCGGGGAGGAGACATAGCGGTCTCTCCTCCCGCAGCGCTCAACCCGCCTGCCACAGTTTCTCTCCTCCTCGCTGGGACACAGAGCAGCGCCCAGGGGGGAGGAGAGAATAGGATGGATGCACCGCTGTATCGGCCAGAAAGTGGCATTTTCAGCGGCCGATATATATCAGTGCATTATATGTGTGTGTGTGTGTGTGTGTGTGTGTGTGTGTGTGTGTGTGTGTGTGTGATGTCCCGATACCGATGCTAGCATCGGAATCGTGCCCGGTACAGGGCGTTTTGACAAGTACTTGTACTTGTCAAAATGCCCCGATACATAGCGCCGAAGCTATGCTTTGTTTTTTTCTTACTTACCTCGCTGAGCGTCGCGTCACTGCTGCTCCGGTGGCCGGCGCTCCAGGTGGGGTCCTAATTTAGGTGGCCAGAGACTGCCAGATGACCCCGCTCGGAGCGCCGCCCACCGGAGCAGCAGTGATGCGACGCTCGGCGAGGTAAGTAAGAAGGGGAAAAAAACCTGCAGCGGCGAGTCAGCTCTAGTCCGGCGAGAGGAGCTCCAGGTGGGGTTCTAATTTAGCTGGCAGGCACCTCTGAGCCACCTGTCCCTTTAAAAAAAAGTATCGGTAATTGGTATCAGCAAGTACATGAGGGAAAGTACTTGTACTTGGGCCTGAAAAAGTGGCATCCCTAATATATACAATTGTTTTTTGTTTAAAGACAGAAAAAATATAGGGATTTGAGAAAATAAAATCTGAACTCCGGGTATATCTTACCCCTTCAAACTAACCACCGAGTTAAAAACAAAAAACATCTATGTCACATGGCAAGCCAGATCCTGAGACTTTTATGTTCATCAGGGTCCTTTTAGTGTCTATGTCACTGTCTGGGTAACATGGACACTTCCTACTGTTCCCTCTCAGGATCCAGAAGATTACAGCAGCATAATGATGTCATAAAGAGGCTACCGGTTAGTGCAGGCACAGAATGCAACAATAGATCCACAGGTCAGCTCTCTCGAAGTGGAACCAGCATGGGACATGAACAACAGACTTAGGTGACTATAAAAAACAGATATTCACAAGATATTTATTTTTGTAATATCGTAAATGTTTGAGAGATGGGTGGCAGGGAGCGAAGGGAGGGGAGAGCTTTGCCTAGAGATGTGCTTTAATTCAGAGAACATTACAAATATTTCCTGCTCCTTTTCCTGTTTTAATAAATAAGTTTAAATGTGTAACAAAGAAAAGAAGTAATGAAAAACACAAACCTTTTCAAGCTTTGAATGCAGTTCCCCTACTTCAGCTTTGCCATGATCTTTAGCCTGCATAAAAACAAATTAAGTGTCGATGAAAAGAGAGGAGATACATCCAAGTATATTCTCATTATGCAATTCATTTTTTGTAATTGTTTTGTATAATATGAATTTTATTAATCAAAATAAACATACAAGTATTAAAATAAAGCAGGGGGAGGTAGCCTCGGCACTCTACTAGTTGTGAAACTACCAATCTCATCATGCATCTGCCTCTGGGAGTAATGCCCCATGGCCATCAGTCTTAATTATTTAACAAAATACTTGTTTTCACTTCAAAATTGATCCTTTGTTGCAACTCAATGCTCCTGATTTCATGTATCCTCTTTGAAGTCAATTCTTGCGCCACATGGGATTTGTAGTTTCACCACAGCTGGGGTGCCGAGGTTGCTTACCCCTGCCATAAAGTAAAACAATGAACCAAAAGGCAGGAAGGTCTTGTTTGCAAGATATTATATTCTAGAAGCAAAAGCGTCTGGCGTAAGGATTAAGTACATGCTCTGATCAGAAACATCTATCTTCAAAATAACAATTTTATAAAACCGCAGCATGAACCAGTGACAAAACTAGGTTCTGTGCAAAGGCAGAAGTTCAGTTGGATACAGATGCTGGTCAAACATACAATAAAAATGGAGAGTGAAAAGCAAAAACAAATATTACAAGTGATTCTCAGTATTAGTGCATTGCTGTAGATCTTGGTGACTGGATTACAGTGCTGCCATTCCCACTCTTGGCTAGATCTCTGGTATACAGGGGGATAAGAATGTAATATAAAGGTCGTGTTTGGGTAATAGGACTAGTAACATTTAACATATTCAAATACATAAATAATAATAATATATACTTTACTGGACTAAAGGAAGTTTTTTTTATATATTTGCACATAGTTTAGCTTTAGTGGTAAACACATTGAACTAAAAATATTAAGAAGCATATGTTAGAATAAGAAGCAATATTTTTGTCACAAGAAAGAATTAGATATTGGTTACCTTCTGCAGCTTTTGCTGACATTCAGTTGCTTTGCGTTTAAACTCCTCTGCAGCAGCTCTAGACTCCCTTATCTCTGCTTCATACATGTCGCTACGCCTGCGAGCAACAGCTAGGTCTTCTTCTAACTGGTGCATCATCAGTTTCATTTCTTCCAACTGGGCTTGAAATTCCTAAAAAGAAAAACATATGATGGCAAAAGAGGATCATGAACCCAGATATAGAAATTAGGGATGCATCGAAAATTTTGTCCGGTATGGGTTGGCGGCCTAAATTTCAGTGCATTTTAGTTTATATCTTCTCCACTGGGAGCTGCTCTGTGTCCACTCTGACACAAGGCAGCGTACAGCGGGGAAGAGAGAAACTGTCAGGAGGCTGAGCGGGGCAGGGAGGAGAGCGGTATCATCATACCTCCCTGCTCAGCCTCCTGTGACAGATCAGGATGGAGAGAGGTGTGCAGAAATCTGTCAGCTGGCACATGGGGCTGAGCCAGGGTCTGTGTGTGTATGGGAAAGTCAGCTGTCAAAGGAGACCGAGCTCTCCTCCTCTTACCGCCCGCTCTGCCTCCTGGGACAGCGAGCCAGGATGGAGAACGGGTACAAGCAGTCAGCGATCAGTGATCGCTGACTGTTTGTAAATAATTGAGGACCAAGTATGTTTACGGTATCCCCAATAATGAATGATTATTAAGTGCTCTACATCACATGTTCATTCATTATTGTGGCTATAGTAATCATACTATCTCCACAAGTTATGAATGAACAGGAACACTCAGTATAGAGGCTTCCTGTTCATTCATAACAGGGGCTGCAGAAAAAGAGATTAAAGGACTCTGTGTCCTCAATCTCTTTTTCTATTTTAAAAGGGAAATATCAGGGCTCTGTTTAGACCACTGATATTTCTCCAGAGCCCCTGACAGAAAAATAAAAAATATTTATTAAAAAATAAATAAAAATATACATTAAAAAAGATATATAGACATACATAAAACACACAACCTTCATACAATCTATGTCAACCTTTTAAGCCTGCTGTCTCTATTTACACCCACTTCCCCATGCAGACGCCTATTGACAAAATGACATCATCACGCAGTGCATGAACATCAATTACATCATCAGGTTTAGGATGTAATTACTTTGCTTTCTTTCTGTTGCAGCTTTTTACACATCACTTCCTGTCTCAGGATAATTTTTGTTAATGGAGCAGCAGGAGGGGGCAGGGCGAGGTCGGATCAGGAAGGGGCAGGGCCAGGGTGCCGTAGGAAGCAGTGTCACCGAAGAGCCGTCGGGCTGCGGAGGAGGCCAGGTCCTGCAGCACCAGTCCAGCGGTGGGGGAGGCCGGGGACCAAGCAGCAGGTAAGGTGATCACACTGCTCCTAAAAAGGACCCTGCAGAGCCCAGCATGGATTCTGCACAGCCCACCTGAGAGTCTCTGGTGGGCTGTGCAGGATGTGTGGTGGGCACTTATCACATATCACTTATATGAATGTGGATATATTAATATATTGAAGACTATTAGTCCAGACACTGAAAATATTATTTAAAGCTCAGGGACCCATACAGCTTTCACTAACACAGATTTATTTGATCACACAGATCACAGTTTAGAGAAACATTTATTTATTCACAAGTTTATATATGAAGTTTATTTATTAATCATTTATCCATTTATCACAATTGAATGGAGGAGGAGTTGGTTCTCCTTGATTTAATTTTACCTAGCGCAACATACTAGCAATTGACTTTCAAGCGCCCACCACACATCCTGCAACGATCTGCAGCATCTCAGGCTGGGGGTGTGCATGATCTGTGGTGGGCTCTGCAGGGTCTCGGGGCTTTGCGGGGTGCCCTAGTTTCGTCTTGCCTAGAGCAGACCCAAGCCAGAATACACCACTGAGTATCGGCACTGGTATCTGAACTGATATCTGCACATCCCTAGCAGGTATTATTTTAACAAAAGCTGCAGATCTGAAAATTACTTTTGGAATCATATTAACAAGTTAAGTATTATATGAAATTTAGTGATTGGACTTCCATATGCTTTCACCTAACTTGCTTTTATGTTTACCTCCTCCAACACCTAACCGAATTCCTAAAGTGAGCTCTTAACACTTAACTCCTTAATACAGAGCGTTAAATCCTGACCTTTACCTCTTTATTTCCGGAGCTCAACACTGAGCTACCTAAACCCCTAAGTAGTCCCTTTTGCATCATACTCACCTCATCCTGTGCAGAGAGACTATATGCTGAAAGATAAAAAGCCCCACTCTGAAATATAATGCCAAGATTCTAGCACTATAAGCTTCTGGTAGAGAAGTTAATGAAGTGCAATAAAGTGAGTTTAAACAGTCAAAAATCAAAAAACATATAAATGTAAGTCTAGTTAAGCAGTGTTTTGTGAACACTACTTTGTAAAAGTAGTGTATGCTAGACATCTTCAAACTGGATAACAGTGAGGTCCTTCCCTGGGAGATTTCTAAACTAATTAATGCAGGAGATAGACTGTACCTGCTCCTTAATATCCTGAAGCTTTCTGCTCTGTTCTCGGATGTCATGTAAGAGCTGAAGAGCTTTGTCATCCTCCTGGGAAACCTCCATTCGGGCCTGCTCCAGGCTGCGCTTTAAACTCTGCAACATGGAACATTTTAAATGCATAATACATTTAAATTAAACTTATTAGCAAGGAACAGAAGCCATGTTCAAAAACAAAATCTGCTAAGAAGTTTCAACAATCCATGTACTAAAACATTCCAACTAGAAATAGAGCCACTATAGTTTTCCAAAAATGTTTTGTCTAGCTAGTAACAAAATGCATACATTGTAGGTAACGGTCATATATTTGTAAACAATTCAAGCAAATTTGTTACAAATTCAGGAATGGAAAGGCAAAATTAGCTAGCCAAACCAACTACATGTTAAAATAAGATTTAAACCATAAGAGAAATCACACCTGGTTGCCATTTGATGTTTTCTTCAATAAAGTCCTTATTTATCAGCCACTTGGAAGTTGTTCAAAATGATTTCTAGCCAAATATGTGGCAGTGACATTTAGAAAAACAGATATTTCACGAACTGTTTCTGCAGTATATCACCCATTTTGAGTACTCACCATGCAGAGGTGATGGCTACAAGAAAAAAACACCTTGTGGGTAAGAGATAAATGTCTCTAATAGGTTTAAAACAGGGGAATGAACAGGGGTAGCTACATAGGAGAGACACAGAACAAAGGTCCTAAATCAAGGAATGACAGGCCAATAGTCTGTAAAATAAAATAACAGCAAGAGCAGGGACATGGTGCAGAGTATCAAATGTCAGTCCAGTCCAAGCTGTAGAAAGGAGAGGATTTATCCCACAGAGAGAATATCCTATGGTGGAGGCTCCAAGATTCACACCAAGTGAAGTAAGCTATCAATGTGTTAGTAGGCTTCCTAGCTTTTAACATGGTGAGAATCACCAATTCACAGATGTCCCTGTCTCTCAGAAAAAGGGCTTCAACAGCGATGCATTAAAGCCAGCTATCGTGAAGCAGGAAGATAAATTGGTCCTTCAATAAAGCGGATTCAGATGATCTGGAACCCACAGAGCATCCACTAAGACTCTTAATCAGAGTACCACATCCCTTGTTAGTTTAAAGCAATGAGGATCACTGGAATGCTCTCCATCTTGATCTTGCAGGAAGAGGAAGACATTTCAGAGGGAGGAAACACAAAAGTAGGGTGTACTGATCCCACAGAGCCAAGAACGTCAACTGCTATTGCTAGAGCCGTGGTTCTCAACTGGTGGGTCGCTGCATGCCTTCCACCAGGCGAGAGGCTCCTCAGCCTCCTAGCGCAGCACTGTTAGTTCTTGCATTTCCATTCACTTGAATGGTACCCCAAACGCACCTCCTGCCCAATTTGTTTGCATGCACCAGAACGTGCGGTACTGCAAAGCTATGCGCTCCAGTGCGGTGCAACTTGAGTTGTGACTTAATGACCAAGGTCCTGAGGTTATATAGCTTGAGAACCACTGTCCTAGAGTATTCATTTACCTGGACATAAACTTGTCCAGTTTGTCAAACCTCTAGTTCAGGAGTACATTTTACAGCATCTCTCACCTGTGACACAGGTCCTGGAACACCACTGGGTGTAGGAACCACTTCCCCGGGTAAGACACTGCAGTCTGAGAAAGTCTGCTTGCATTGTAGGGGGCTGGAGTGAAATTGGGCAAATGGGACTGCCTCATAAGAGGCTACTAAACGGACCTGGGACTCCTGGGCTGAAAAGCACAAGTCTGTGCTCCAAGAGTTTGAAGTTTCTCCTAAAGGAGAAATTACTTCAGCTGTATCTAGGACTAGACCAAGATAGTCCAAATGATAAGTTTCATTACTTATATTTGAAGCTTCAGGATCCCACTATTGCAATGTCTGGACAGTCAAGACCGCGTTGTCCAGCAGATAAGATGCCAAATGACAGTGCCAACTAAAATGGCAGGGAACCCACAACAGCTGTGAGCTGGAAATACGGACGACATGCAGGTATGCGTCTTTGATGTACACAGAAGCTAGGAAATCTCCATAGTGAAGAGATGTTATGACAGATCTGGTGGATTCCATTTGGAAATACTGAGCTTGAATAAAGACTTTCAGTGGTTTGAGATCCATGATAGGGTAACCCCTTGTGCTTGGGAACTGAACAGGTTGGAGTGAAACCTGTAACTCTGTTTGGTCACGGGAACTGTGACAATGACACCTTGATCTAGAAGCCCTTAAAGGGCTCAGTGGAGATATGCTAATCTGTGCGATGACACAGGAATGTTGGATGTGAGAAATGGAGAAGTGTGCTGGGAGCGAAACTCTAGCTTGCAGTCCCTGAAAACTGGAGATAAGAGTTGTCTATGTGATTGCAAAGACCATCATATGTCTCCCCACTTTGGAAAGTGGGGGCGCACCTTCATTCAAAAGGAAGGCTTGTCTGAGGGTTTGGCAAACTTCGAGCCCTCAACCTTGCAGGTGAACTGGGAGTCAAGCTTGGGGGGTTTGGAGGAGTTATACAATGAAAAGGACATCTCTTAACCTCCAGCGAGGAAAAGCTTTTCCAGTCAGTGCCATTGCCACCAGTAGTTTTCTTGATAATGATGGTATCCAGAGTAGATCCAAAGAGACTTTGTTCATCAACATGCAGAGCAGACACTTTTTAGACAAGGCTTCCTTAGTGCATCAATTTAATCAAAGTGTCCTTTGCACAAACAGACCTATGTAGGAGAGGAGACAGGAAACTTCCAGTAGTCAACCACAACAATAGCTTAAAGTAACAATTATTCGCTCCAGTCTTAGTCTGAGTGACGACATTTGGCAATAAATGGACTTTTTTTTTATTTCAACGTTAATTCGGTGTGCTGGTGACATCTCTATCAAGCTTTGTTACGAACCGTGCCATCCGTGGTCACTACAAGAACCCAATCGTATCATACTGGGGATATCCAGTAAGGAATGCAGCAAGTCACCTCTTCAATGTTTTCCTTGAAGGCAAGTCTCATCACCTGCTGGGTTGGGTCAGAAGCTGTTAAGGCTACTGGCAGACCAGATACAGAATCTGCAAAGGGAAAGTGCTTGTGGGCCCTGTGGTCAGAGCCAGCAAATAACTGGGTGATTAAAGCCATAAAGTATAACTATAGTAAAAACCTCAGCCGAGAGGGCAGAGGAAATGGCCACATCGGACGAAGCTAGAGAAGACTCCAAACATGAGAAAGTCTCTAGGATCGGAAGGCCACATTGTGACCGTGAAGGGGTTAGGCAACTTAAGTTCAGGGTAGAAGCCTAGGCCTCAGGTACTCACTAAGCCTGAGCAGCTGGAAGTAGGTATGGGTCGGATGACTGCGGTTACTGTAAGCAGGCAGCAGGGACAAACCAAAGAATAGAGTTCTATGTGGTTTGTTGCAATTGCAGGAGCAGCAAATGGGGAGATGCTTCTGCAACACTGAAGGCCAGGAAAGAGAGGACAGATCGCATGCATGCAAGACTCCAACCAACAGATGACATCAGTGCTCAGTCCCTCAGCGTTAAGGAACAGGTGGAAAGCAAACATTTGTAAAGGTGCCCTGCGATCAAAACAAATGAGGTAGCTCTCAGGGCTCAGTCAGCTGAATGAAAAGCAAAAGCACCTTGCTTTACAAATGTAAGTGGAAAAATTGCCTGAAAATTTGATAAATTAGGCAAACCATATGCAAAATGATTTCTCTTGTGAAGACATTTTTGGTGATGCAAACTAGTAGGTTATAAATAGGAGAAAAAAAGAGAACTTTACCGTTGTTCTCCTATCAGACAGTATAGAGGCTTTGTAAGTGGTACTATGGCTTTCTTTCTGTAGCAGTGATGGTGACCACTACACACCACATGGTAACATTTAATAGGCACTCAAACACTGCAAAAGCCCTGATATGTTACATTCCCATTGTTTGAGCACAATTACCTTTTCCAATGTAAACATTTTCTACTTTAAGAATCAGCCTCCCCCTTAAAATCTTAAAACCATAAGTAAATACTGTATTTTTCCGTGTATAAGACTATACTTTTTCATAAAAATATTTACCTAAAAATAGGGGGGCGTCCTATACACGGGGGGCCGAGAGGAGAACCGCGGTTGCGAAACTGCCGATACCTCTGCAAACTAGCCTCACGAGTGAAACTTTCCAATTGCAGAGACAAGCTAACAGGTTTCCTCCAATCATGAGCCTTATGTACCCGACGTCAGCTGATGCTGCGGAGAGCCTGTAGCCAGTGGCCAGATGTAACAGGGAGCGGTAATGTCGGAGCATTCTGAGCCCATAAAATGTCAGAAAACAAAAAAAAATCCCGGTAAATACCAATACCAGGAAGCGGCTGTCTTACTGTGCAAAATTTAAACTGGATGTAATCAGTTATGCAAAAGAGTATGGAAAATATTGATTCCTGAATTTTGGGTAAGAAAAGTGGGGGGCGACCTATACATGGGGGCGTCTTATAGACGGAAAAATACGGTACATACTATCCCTACAAAACACCTCGAGAACACTATTCAGATCATGTATTATATAAAAGGTACATCAAAGACTAGTCTAAACACCATGACTACACTATACAGTGTTATTACAAAGTTTAAAAGTTATACAAAAAGCTGAAGGTTTTAAAAGAAAATGTAATCATGCCAGAAGGGCAAGGAAGCAGTGGATATGTCTACTTTCACACACTGTTGAAAATGGCTCTGAAAACTATGGAAGCAGGAATCATTTTTAAGCAGTATTATCTACAAAGCTCCTAAATTTTGTCCATGCTTATATGTCAATGTCCACTTTTTTACATATCCCATTAAACGATCCAATTAGCTTAAGACGGCATAGCTGGTAAAGTAAGAGCTAGTTCACACCAGAACTGCGTGCGTCTGTACAGCTGCAATGCGTTTTGCCACGATTGTACCGCAATTGATGCGTGTTTGGTTTTTATTTGGGGGGTGCTTAAAATGGGATTTAAGGTGCATTTGCATGCGTTTCGGTGCAATCCGATAAAAGCTGTATTTTTTCTGACTGCATCGGAACAGACTGCACTGGTGTGAATAGAGCACCAGAAATTCCATAGAAAAGTATTGTGTTGTATTTTGGCTGCAGAAGCCAAACTGAAGGGACTGCACGACAACTGCATCTAGTGTGAACTAGCCCTAAGAGATACAAGCTGTCATATTTTCTAGTGCAGATTAGAAAATGGTAACCAACATCTGAATAGCGGATACAAATAACACAGATGCTTTTCATTAGCTTGTCTACACTTAACTATAAAAGCAGGTCTCAGATTAATTGTTGCTGGTTACTGCACATCAATGATACTTTAACATGGTTATTAAATAAAGCCTGAATGGCTCTAATACACCCTGAGACCATCTCTAAGCAATCTACGGAGTATGTGGGCATTATATCCACTATCCACTAATGGATATGCTGTGATGCTCACGCTGCATTCTGTGATGTAGGTCGCCAGGTCTTGTTCCAGGAGAGACCTCTGGGTTTCAGATGCTTTTAATTCAACTTCTTTTTGGCTGAGAACACCCTCCACTTCAGACACTCGACGATGTAGTCGAGTCATTTCTTGCTCCATCTGTAACATACACAAAATAAAAAGAGGATTTAACCAGCTCACCGAGAGCCCAAACCAGTGTCTAAAACTGAGAACAACATAATGCCACAACTAGTGCACAGAACTGGTAACAGCGAGCTCACTTCTTCTACTGGTGGGCTCACAAAGTCATCCACAGGGCTGTTGTTCACAAATACACACAGTCCGAAGAAAATCCCCACAGCACACAGGTTTTCAATAAGACAGTCATTTTCACCTGCTTGAGTCCCTTGAGTATTATCCCAAATCCAGCTCTGATGAGAAGACGGTTTGCCTCATCATCACATAAATCAAGAATAAACCATATGAGTCCTTCATAAAGTCTCCAATATGTGGGGGTAATCAGATTCCAACCAGTTGCTTTGCCCAAGATCATAAGTTATGTACAATGCGTAATGTTTAAGGATTTATATGCACAAGGCCTTAAAGTCTTTTTATTTGAGAAAAGTGAAAGACCTCACAGAAATCAGATTATTGTTTCCACCGATGGAGAAAGTTGTCCTCCTCACCCAAAGAAGAGGCTTCCTAAACACGATTTAATGTGGGAGATCCAGAGAAGCCACATGAGACTTTAGAGTTTAAAGAGGGTTTTCAAGCTGAGGGATGTATGCTGGCACAGTGTTGCTGAAAAAAAGTGTTCTACGCCCCAAAAGGATAAAAAAAATTCTTGATTCCCAGGAATGCACTGGAAGGAAATTTCTGCAGCAAACAGGAAGGCCAAGCGCTGGTTTAAATACCTTGTGGCATTTGTCCTGTGTGTCCTGTAGTTCTTTGCTCTTGAGAATTAACTTCTTCTCCATGGAGCTCGTCTTGGCTGGAGAGTCCAAGCCAGACACAATAGACCTACAGAAGAGAACATAAATAAATAATAACAATTTTCATGCGGGAAGACCAGATTATTAGCAATCCATTTATTCTGATGTGAATATCTGCTCATTTTCAAACATTCATCATTTATCACCTTAAAACAATAAGATCCATCCACCCGCCAATCAGATAACTATGTAAACCACTGCTAATTTTAGATCCAGATTTATTCATTTTCCTTTATTACTGACAAACAACTATCAACCAGACTTACATAAAGCATAAGAGCTGCCTACTTAATCCACCAACAATTAATCTAGGATATTAGAAACTCGGGCCTTATGACCAACAGGGCATGCCACCTTCCTTTTAAAATAATTGTTTGCACAAAGTAATTTGAGAGAATGTTTACTATTAAACATACATCAACAGAATAACCATAAATGTATGAATTGTATAATGCCTGAAGAAGGGCCAAGCCCGCTCCTGTGTTGGGCTACAATCTCGCACTTAGTTTACTCATTTGTATTGAGATTGTAGTCCATCACGGGAGTGAGCTTGGAGCAGTGGCTACTTTACAACACACAGCGACCATGGGGAACAAAAGTAGCCACCCTCCAGAAGGAAGGACAGTGTCATCATGAACTCAGAGATGATTTGAGAATCTACAGCTGAGTGATACAAAAATAAAATACATTTTTGTTAATAGTTTAGGTACTTGAATGCAGTTTTAAGTTTTAACTCCTGAGTTTCGCTTCACTTTAAGTTGACCAATAAAGGGTATCACCTAAAACTCCAAACTTTCTGCATTAATCAATGTCTAACACGGTACAAGACTACTAAACTCATGAACAAAAATTTAATATATTGCAGTTTACAAGTCCTTAGATGCAGCTACTGCATTGGTTTTCTTTTTTAAAGTTAAGCACATTTCCAGCAACTACAGAAGTCCATCCATGAAATGTCCTTGCTACTAAATATTCCATGGCCAATGGTTAGTGGTATTATAACAAAGTGGAAGCAACTGGGAACAGCAGCAACTCAGCCACAAAGTGGTAGGTCACGTAAAATGACAGAGCAGGGTCAGAGCATGCTGAAGCGCACAGTGCGCAGAAGTCACCAACTGTCTGCAGAGTCAATAGCTACAGACCTCCAAACTTCTTGTGGTCTTCAGATTGGCACAACAGAAGTGCGTAGAGAGCTTCATGGAATGGGTTTCCATGGCCGAGCAGCTGTATCCAAGCCTTACATCACCAAGTGCAAGGCAAAGCGTCGGATGCAGTGGTGTAAAGCACGCCTCTACTGGACTCTAGAGAAGTGTCGTCTGGAGTGACGAATCACGCTTCTCTGTCTGGCAATTGCCATGAGAACGGTACTTGGCTGACTGCATTGTGCCAAGTATAAAGTTTGGTGGAGGGGGGATTATGGTGTGGGGTTGTTTTTCAGAGGTTGGGCTTGGCCCCTTAGTTCCAGTGAAGGGAACTCTTAAGGCATCAGCATACCAAGACATTTTGGACAATGTCATGCTCCCAACTTTGTGGGAACAGTTTGGGGATGGCTCCTTCCTGTTCCAACATGACTGCGCACCAGTGCACAAAGCAAGGTCCATAACGACATGGACGAGCGAGTTTCGGGTGGAGGAACTTGACTGGCCTGCACAGAGTCCTGACCTCAACCTGATAGAACACCTTTGGGATGAATTAGGGCGGAGACTGTGAGCCAGACCTTCTCATCCAACATCAGTACCTGACCTCACAAATGCGCTTCTGGAAGAATGATCAAACATTCCCATAGACACACTTCTAAACCTTGTGGACGCCTTCACAGAAGAGTTGAAGCTGTTATAGCTGCAAAGGGTGGGCCAACTCAATACTGAACCCTACGGGCTAAGACTGGGATGCCATTAAAGTTCGTGTGTGTAAAGGCCGGCGTCCCAATACTTTTGGGAATATAGTGTATATGTAGATAGTCATTAATTGTGATACAAGTGCTCAGTTTTATGTTATAATATAATGTATATTTTGTTTGCGTGCTTTGTCATTTGTGAACGACCTGTTGGGAGTGGATTTAGGCTATATTATATAGTAATGACTCTTGTTTAGCAGTACCGATTACTTATGATTGTCAATAAAAGTTTTGTTTTTAATCATTTAGATTCCCTAGAGCAGCATTCTGGGGTACTTGTTTGATGTATCCTTACATTAACAATTATAAACTACTTCCTTCTATTTCAAAGAATTTATATTTATACTCAGGAAAGATGCTAAATTAAAATTGCAAGTAGACGTAGTGGGCTACGCAATCCCATATGAAGATAGGTAGATTAAAGAAAAGCTTTCTTAAAAGAACCCATCTTGTCTTCTTGAACAGTTGAGTAAAAAAAATAAAACGTAAAATCCATGAGAACAATACAATTATGCCTTACACTGAAATACAGATATTAATTTTACATTTGAACGAGTTCAGGCGAAAATCAACAAAATATTAACTTAAGTCATGTAAAGTTAATCTAGTTCAGGAGCAATGCTTGCATTATTTCCATGCAAATTGCATAGGGAAGGTGTTCAAGGAAACCTGTACTGAAAAATACAGGGGCTAACATCCTTTTGAAAATGTTAGTTGCCTGGCTGTCTCTGGCTACAATATTCTAAGCCACCAACCTGGAACAAGTATCCAGCAGCCAAAATCAGAGTGGAGCTAGAACTCAGGATCTGCATATTAGTTATGGAGTTAATTATTCAAATAGTACTAAAGAAACTGGATCAGCATGACTGTCAGACAACCAGCATTGTCAGGTCACAAAATGCACTTACACATTTTCTCAGTACATGTTTTAGGCAAACTGCATGTCTACTTTATAGATCCATTCATGTCACTGGGTTCTGTTCTCCAAAGCAAATGCATTTTGAAAGTACCCTGCATGCTGCAGTTTGGTGTGTATTAACCTACAATTTCCCACCCAAGTCACCTAAAAGGAAACGCTCCAAATCACATTGCATTTGTAAACATAAACTGGCTCGTAATCACATCTAGTGAGACAAACACTAACTAATCCTTACATAGTGAAAGGGAAAACAGGTGACATTGGAGATGAAAGAAAAAAAAAAAACCACAAAAAAAACAAATCTGTGCTTTATATCACTCAAGCTCCAGATCAATATATTAACACATGTTCAAATAATCTGAAGATAACTTATAACACAGGCGAAAAGAGCTATCAAATGTTACTGTTTACATTGTAATCTAGTAGAGTGACAAAAAGGAAAAGTGGAAGCAGCCAAACGGGTTCTGTTTTGTATTTTTAAAGCATGCTCTTGAAAAATGACATGAAATTGAATCCGATTGGTCCTTGTGGGCCACATGTCACAAGGGTTCATATCACAGAAACCCTCCCTTGTATAAACAAGTATAATAAAGTTTGAAATATCTGATAATGATGGGCAGAGTATAGAAAGGGAAAAAAAAGCATGTTATCCATTCTAAGCTTTTTGTTCATGTCTTTTTAATATTGAGTCAGAGGGAGAAAAAAAAAATCTTTGCCACGCACGTCCTAGACTAGTCTCAAAATAGAAGGGCAATTTAGTATGAAGCTCACGAATGCATAAACAGTGATTGCATAACAGCAGCCAGGTTATTAAAGTGCTGCTACACTTGATACAATGTAGATGTGTCACACTTGCACTGCTGCGGGAACTATGCAGATGAATTTGCTTGTATAGAATATCAAACACCCATCAGAAAACCTTGATGTGCTCTCTTTTTCGAAGGTGTCATAACCTTAACAAATGAAGAGCTTATTATGTCATCAGCGACGCGGCTCAAGAGCATGCCGTGCAAACTGATCGTAGCGTTACAACATGTTTACTGGTGTTAAACGCTGAAATAAGGGAACCACCCATCCTATATAAAGTTTGCTAGGGGTACCCACTTGCCATAATAAAAAAAAGCAATGCAATAGGGGTTTGTTTGTTTTTTAAAAGGTACAAACGTTAATAGCAAGGAGTGATCTACAGCATCTTTGTGTTAAAGGAGCAAGGAGGTTGCAACCCACAAACTGATTGTGAGGCTTCTTGTGTTCCATACAACATTGACACATACAAATGGCATCTTCATTATTTTATATTTTAATGGTTGGCACTTGGTTTAATTTTAGATTGTTTCAAAACCTCCCTTAGGCTATATAAAGCTTGCATGTCAGACGTTTAAGTGAAACTCAGAATTCTATCATCTGTACAGCAGCAACACTACAGGGGAAAAGGGAAGGATCCAGCTCGTTGTATACGTATTCATGTCAGCAGGGGTAGTGGGATGCAGATGGCATACAAACACCACTGCAGGCCATATCAACCTGCATTCTCCAAGCCAAGTCAGGACAGTCACTCATTCATTTTTACTTACTCAGATTTGGTGAATGCACCAAGAGCCTTGATGTACGAAAAGCCCACGAACGGCAAATCTTCGCCCGAGAAACCTGCAGCGTTCAGGTGGCGCGAAGAGGGTACAGCCCGTAAATTCTTCTCCGGCTCATCAAAATTTGAGGTGTCATCGTCAGACTTTAAGGTAGGAACGAATGGAGGAGGAGCTGGTCAGAATGAGAGAAATGAGGATTACAACCCAGGAACCTGCTTCATTAGCTGCACCAGCACTGCAGCTTGTGCTCTCTCAGGAACTGGCAGACTGAGTCACTGCTATGAAATCTATTACAGCAACAAGATATTAACCCCTCCATTACCTCTGCGCAGGAACATCCGCTCTCTAACACTACTCGTTTCCCTGGATTCTTTCACCTGCCTAGGAAAAGTAACCGATAGCCATATTTTTACATTGCTAATATACGAGGATGTGTCCTGCTTTCTTATTATTCTTGCTGCTGACGACAAGATGGTATCTAGGTATGAGATGTCAAACATTCAGAAGAAGATTAGCAGATATACACATACTGAGAGATTACCAAATCCTTTCACTTTTACGGCTGCCTGAGATCTGAAGGAGTGTCGATCCATCTATTTCAAGAGCCATGCAAATGCACAACGTGTTGCCTGGAGAGGCCATGAAGCGGCTCCTGAGATAGCAGCCTGAGGAAGCATTGTGATATTGAACATCCTCCTGGTTCTAATACGGTTACCATGGATCCAGAATAAATCTCTACTGGGCCAATAAGGATACGGGAAGAAAAAAAAAAAAAAAGGGGGGAAATATCCCACTCTACAGAGGCTGTCATCTAGATTTCACCACTGTGTTTCAAATCAAGCTGATGGGGGAAAAGAAAAAAAAAGGAAAAACATATGTGCGGTTGTTGTGGCACGGCTTACACAAACAATATAATGCTGGCAGATACAACTTCAATGCTGCCATTATTTTAAATTATTTAATAAAACAAAGAAAATATTTACTGCCGGCTCACAGACAGCTCCAGATTTTGCCTAAAGAAAGAAAATAGCCTTGTTTGCTGTTTTTTTAGGGTCACTTAGGCCATGGAATGCAGCATCTCATTTCTGCACACTGAGCAGGAACAATGAATCAGAGAAGCAGCACAGGCAGCCCTGAGCAGGTCAATTTAAATTTCAATGAGGCCACTGGTTGCAAAGCAGTCTTCATTACAGCCATCTACACGGTTCACACAGTATACGCACAAGGGCACAGATCTCAAGAAATCATTAAATTAGCCACTTGAAGTAAAAGAAGACAGGGGGGAAAAAAAATAGCAGTAAATGTGTACATGTTATAGCGACACATTAGGTGTAAATGGGCCTGCCCGCGTGCACCTATCTGCCAATGAGAAAACAGGAATATATCCAGTTATATATTTATTTCCACCTACGCACTGAAACCAGCCTTGATATTTTCCAGTTGTCAAACTAAACATAAACATGTGACAAGCCTGTGCGTGAGCGCATATTCAGAAGCAAAATACTCTTAACGGTTAAAAAGCTTATTCCATGGAAATTAATTAGAAAGGGTGACATTCAAAAATATGGAACATTTAGAAAGATATCAATTTTTTTGTGTGCGTGAATCACCATCGTATGCCCACAGGAGAGGAAATCAAGGTTAGCTATTAAAAATGAGAAACACTGAAATATGTTATGAGCAGGCCTAAGCTTATCTATGTTGGCATTGTGCAAACATTGTGGTATATGGTAACCCATCGCAACCTAATCAAATTCGCCTTTACTAGCCTGCCCAATATTTCAAATTGGGATACTGGAAATAATCACCGCTTGTTTTATATCCAATAAGGCAAGCAGGTATATTGCACAACAGTCATGCGAACCTAGCACAGGTAATGGCATCATTATGGCGGCTCATGGCAATGATATGTAACGTGCAACGTCATCATCGTTTTCGCGTGTATGTGGGGGTATGGGACTTTAAAATAATTTTTTTGTGTTTTGTTTTTTTGTGTGTGTGTGTGTGACTAATTCTTTTTACACAACTTTATTTATATCACAATGGGGGGCTAAAAAGACCCCTATGTGGTATCAAATTACAGTGACAGGTCCTCTTTATGGAGACATTGTAGACAAGAAGGGGGGGGGGGGATCGGAGGGAGATTGTGTACTGACCTCACTCCGTTCTCACTGCACAGAGCCACAATGCCGCTCCTGGGTCCGAACGGAGCAGACGAAGGAGAGGGAGGTGCACGAATTTACCACATACAAGTGATCGGGCGTCTCTACAGACGCTGGACCGCTTGTATGTAAACAGCCATTGGTGGCTATTTCAAATCTTGACAGTTTCCCGCTCTTGCGTGCCAGGCGGCTCGCACCAGCGGGCAGTGTCACAAAGGACGTTTTAAAGACACCCACCTGCATCTACAAGGCTCCTGTCCAGCCGTTTTGCTACATTGGGCAGATGGGAGGTGGTTAAAGTGATATTAAAATAAGAAAGGTTTTAAGTTATTTCACATGCTGATTAAATCACTTACAATGGATGCTACTTCTTGACTTTAAAAGTTTTATCTTCCTGCAGAATCTGAGCACTGGCCTTGATATCCTGTTTTAGGGTGGCTTCTCTCCCTTACAGGATCCTATGGAGCCACCCTTATGTGTGCTAGTAAGCTGTGTGTGTTTCCACAAACACACAGGCACAGAAAGGCAAGCAATTTCCCTTCTTGTTAGAATACACATTACTGTGTTTAGAGCAACAACTTCTGCAGTATACAATTTTGGTCACTAGATGGCAGTGTTTATAAGTTCTGTTATATCTATGGTATATAGTATGTTGTATGGAAAAAGGTAGAGCATAAAGCTGTGGCTTCCTTCCTGTTTTCAACCAATGTGCAGCAAGCATATCAGACTGTGTGCTTGTGTTTCTCTGTGAGGCTGTGCAAGAAGTTCCAACACTTCTCCCTGCTCCTCCTTCCTCCCTCCCTCTTCCAAGCTAGTAGATAAAAGAGCTGCTGGAGACTGCTCTGTCCCTTGTGATCTTGTACTCAACAGGAAATTCAGGGAAGCAAAACTGAAAAAGTTGGTGGCAGCTGTTTGGAAACATGATGACAGTAAGTACTTGGTCAAAAGTATAAAGAAAATATATTTTGCTGGGCAATATATATTTGTTTGATCTGGTTTCATTTCGGTAAAAAAAGTTTGAAAGTTTAACACTACTTTGAATACGTTTGTTTACTTTGTACAAGCCAATGGGACTACCACCACCACCCAGGAAAACGTGGGAGGATTTTTCACTTAGACACAGCCAGCCAGATCTTTTGGTACTACTTCATGCTGAAAAAGACAAAGCAGCTTTGAACGCTACAACATCCTTATAGCTGCTTTGAGAAAGACACAAAACGTACTCTTGTTGAAGGTGGGAAACACACGGTACAATCACCAAGTTTTATTTTTATTAAAAAAGAAACACCCACACACAACTAACCTGGAATACATAGAAATTTACAACTCACAGCACCATAGGGCAGACAAACACTGCAAAACGTATTCCAGGCTACATTCACATCTATGCATTTTGATACGTTAAGTTGAAATCTGTTTGCTGCATTTTAGGTGTTACTGCCATAATACTAGAACAAAATAATACTTTCCATAAGGATGAATGGTAATATGTGTAAACCACATCTGCACCACACTGAAACTGCAACACATTACAAATGCAATAGCCGAGGAATGCAGTGGAAAGTCAGCAGTTTTTTCCACCTTTTATTTAAAGTCAGAGAAATGCATTGAACTGGAAATATCAACATTCTTCTGTGTCTGATCAAAAAAAAAATCACTTTAAAGTGAATTTCCACTTTACAGCCAAATTGGGATAACATCTAAATTACTGTATTTTTCGCTCCATAAGACGCACCTAGGTTGTTGCCCGTGTTGCCTGTGTCTAAAAAAGAGCTACTCCATCCAGAGAGGATTTGCGGCTGTCCGGCGGCGTGAAAGGTAGCTGGCAGGGATGGGGTTGCGGGAGAGAGCGGGCGAGACTGGGACGGGGGACGGGAACTTAGCTGCCGCTCCTCTGCTCCCTGGCAAATTCGGCTCTGCATGCACATATACCCCCACACGCTCACACTGCTCAGAGAGGCGGCTCAGATCACACCTGACAGCGCTCCCTCTCTCTCCTCCCTCTCTGGCTGCTCTGAAGCTGCAGCGGCTGGGAGAAGAGAAAGCGCTGACAGGTGTGATCGATGCGGCCATCTTAAAAGGGGCCCCCTCCCAGTCGCATCTTTCCGCAGGCTGCTTGACCTGCCTATAGGGTAGTGCCGGCTCTGGGCGCAGGAGATTGTCGAGACCTGGGGGAATATTCGCTCCACAAGACACACTTTTTTGCCTGCCTTTTGGGGGGGGGGGGAAAGTGCGTCTTATGGAGCGAAAAAAAAAAACATGTATTTTCTTTCTCAACCATTGAGGGACACAAGAATTCAAATACAGTCAGGCCCTTCAAAAAACAGTCCAACGGAGGGGTGAGCAACACAACAACTGGAGGCGACCAAGCCCCCAGCACAACCAGAAGGAGAGCATAGAGAATTAACCTGAAGGTCAAACCAGGAAGAAGGGCCACAGCCAAGGAAGATGACTTCATACAGAAGGAGCAACAACTTGAATCAGTGAGCAGCCAATACACCAGAAACCACCAAAACAGGTGAGCAATAATGACTGGGAGAAAAAGATCCACAACGTAATATGATCAACAAGGTAAAGGGTCAAGACCCTGAAAGAAACAGGTTCCACTTGGAAACCTAAACAAAAAAAGAGGGGATAGACAAATCAGTATAGAATGGTACAACAACCTTATAGCTGATTTGAGAAAGACACGGAACTACATTCTTTTGCTAAGCAAGACTTACAAGGATGAAAAACCCTGCATCAGCCTCAAGGAGGTGTGATGTGACTCCTGAGTCCGCCAAGGAACTCAAAAATGTAATCCCACAATGTCAGCATAACTAACAAACAACATAGGGAGCATGGGATGAACCCCCTCCAGAATGGAAAGGGAATGGGATAGAGACTCAAGCCCCAGACTGGTTAGATGGAAACATCCAGGTAAAACAGAGGTTGAAGCTAATGCAGCCTCTCTGGAGTTAAGAGGTACTGCAGAGGAATCCAGCTAAAGACCAATGCTGCCTATTACTAA